GAAATCGCACTCATGTCCAGCTGCCCGTGACTAAGCGATTCGTTTGTTACGAAAACAATTTTTAACCGATTCATAAGCGATTTAATTATAATCCCTATGCGTTTTTCAAAAACCATTTTGTTGCGGTTTAAGTCTATATAAATTGTCATCCCTTTGTTTAAATATTATTGCGGATTTATCATTCATCATTTATTGACCTCTCGATTTTTTGTTGTATTAGAAATGCAATTAAAAGTTTAAAAAAATAATAACTTCCTGGCCGTTTTAATGGGACCTTGTCAAAAATTGTTGGCAAACCAAGCTAATTATCATGGCTAAGTGATTTGAAATCAGTTTCAGCCTAAATATGCATCATAGTCTAACCCTACCCGCTTCTAACCGATTCGCACCCGATCCGCCGCGAAGGACCTCGCCGAAAGTGCATATGCATGCAATTTTTGGCAGGCCCTAGTATTTGCGAATCACAAGGAAGAGCATTGCATTTGAATCGAACCATAAAGATTGCAAGTCTTGTTTTTTGAATGCCCACGCGGAGACATTGTTGCGATTACGCTTACGATTACGATTACAGTTCAGATAAGAGCGCCTGAGAGCCAAGTGATAAGCATCGGAGGGCGACATCGCTGAGGCTGCCCCATCTCATCTCATTTTTGTGTGCTATTGTTGTTGCTGTTTTTCGATCCGTTGGCGATAACGTCAAGAGCGAAAAATGAAACAAAAATTTGTACAAAAAAAAAAAAAAAAAAAAACAGAAGCAAAAGCAGAAGCAGAAGCAGCTGAGTGTACACAAGCTAAGAAGCAAACGAACCGAGTGCCCCCGAGAGTGGCAGACACACACAGATTGTGCGATCGCGAAAGAGCGAAGAGTCGGCCAGGCCAGTAGACAGCATCCCGATGTGAAATAAGGGGCGGCGGATGATGGCAGGGATGGGGGAAGGGGGGAGGGGTCGCTACTGGCCGACTGCCTGGCTGGCACTTATAAAAGCCCCGGCCCAACGCCACTTGGAACGCATTGTCCAATCGCTCTTGGAGCCGCGTGGAGCTCCTCCAACCAGTGATCCATATACATCCCGATTCTCGTCTAACCGCCGTGCACCGAACCGAATCGAACCGAATCGAGTCTCTTCTAAAAGAAAAACAAAAACATCGTCGACAAGGACAGCAGTAGTAGGTGCGTATATCCCACCCACCCCCAATTCAAACCCAAACCCAAACCGAAAACCCAATCCCAGATGTATAACCCACCAAGGATAAAATACAATGGGCAAGGTGATTCAGCAGACATCTCAACTCTTCCTGTTGCTCGTAAATAAGATTCAGGGGAGGCACAAAACAATTTATTTTCTGCCACCCAGGGGCATTATTCCACATTCTTTATTCCAATCTTTTTGTTTGGTTTGAAAAATTGTTTTTTTTTTTTTTTTTTTTTTTCTTCTCAAAATACAGTGTAACAGCTGAAAATAACAAATATGCATAAATTAATTATGCAAACTAAATTGTCGCGTGCCCGTAAAACTCAAAACAAGTGGAATAAGCTGAAACAAGAAAGCGCAATATTAACATTTATTTTGTTGCCAAAGTGAATACCAGATTGAACGGGCACCATCACAAAAAAAAAAGCGGAATAAACGGATGCAGACGGCACCTGTTCCAGATTTATGCAAATATTGGCAAATACTCGAAATGCCCGAGGGACTACTCTTCTTCGGAGTACTCAAAATTCCTTTTGAAATTTTACAGGGGTTTTAAGTGATCTTTCTGCAAAAATTCATTTGAGGATTTCTTAACAGGAGTACAAACTTTGTCTCCAAAAAGTTATCTTTTTAATTCAAATTTTTGAGCATTTAAAAATATCCCATAAAATTCTCCATTCCATACGTAACTTTAAGGCTACTACTTTGAGGGGTGATAGAAAAAATCATCTTAAAAGTAGAGTTAACATAAAGTTTGTTCGCCTAATATAGTTTATTAAAAACGTGATGCCTTTACTTTGTTAGATCTCTCTAAAATCCCACCAAATTCTTCTTCCATTTTTTAGACGCACGTTTTTCTGTGCAACCCATATTTCTTCGGAACCCACAAACACTCATTCATTCAGTTAAATTTCATCAGGTCCCCCTGAATCATACAGATCGAATTTAGCCTGTGGGCTCTGTTGCTGGGTCACCAAATCGATTTCTGAGAGGGTTCACTGTGGCTCATAGTCGCACTCTCTCGCCAAAAAAAATAAAAAAAAAACCTCCAGCGATCTGTTGGGCATTAGTCATGTTTATTTGTTTTGAATTATCAAGCATAGTGCGATCCGTTCCGTTGTTTATTGAATAACCGATTCGGAATTCCGAATTCTTCTTAATTCGTAATTCATGATTCGTTATTTTCATGCTCTCTTGGCGACTTTTGTTTTCTTTTCGCGCATTGTCTTCAATTGAAAGTGGTCAATTAATTGAAATGTTTGTGCAGCGATCGCAGAGGAAGAGAATAAACGCTGATGCTGGTTTGTTCAATTGAAGATGGGTCGAAGATGTTGAGACTTGCTCTCGAGTGGGGAAATAAAAATCCGATTCGAACGAGTTTCGAGCACACGCAGTTTGATTAACATTCAGCGGCAACAGCCATATACATATATGCATATATGTATGAACAGATAAATGTGCATACAGAATATATATTGCAATATGTGTAGGAAAGGAACGAACAAATATATAGGCCCATCTGTGTTCCTTGGCTCTGTTATTGTTTGTAGATTAAACTCAGCCATGGCTACATACGCCCCAAATTGAACTTAGCACGGACATCAACCATTGATCCCATAGTCGGGTTGACAACCATCGGCTTCTTAGCGGTACGAATGTTCGAAACTTTTGTTTTTCCGTTGTAGAAAGGGGGTATTTTTTTTTATTGGCGATCGTTGGTAATTAAGCTGTCCCCTCATCTAGCATAATTTCCAATTAGCCGTGTTCGTTTCGTGACAACAATGTCTAATTAAATTAATTGTGGGCGGCCTAAACAAACGGTTAGCAAATATTAAGCGAAACCGAGAAGCGAACAAAGAACACGTACCCGTTACCGCACTAACCCACTCCCATCGAATCTTTTGTGTGGGTCTTCTGTGGGTCAGAGGTGTGATAATTGGCGAAATGAAGCAACCAAGAATTAGCGTCAAGTTACGGCTCACTAATCGCCCATTATGCAAGGCCCTAATCGGCATTTGACTCTGGAGAGAGTCACGTCTTCTACTCGACGGGTTCTTGAACAAAAAAAACGACCATCTCGAGCTTCGCTTTGTTCACGATCTTGAATCGCCCATAAACATAAACTAATGACTCACTGAGCGAAAAACTCCCACCAAAATGTGGCACACAATTAAGCAATTAACCAGCGTTGATCGACTTTATGGCAATATTTCGCATGATATAATGATAAATGAGCTCTTCTAATTGCAGCACTTTGGAAACGCTAATAGATCAGCGTTTAGCTTAGCTTAGCTTAGTTCATTTCATTTCATTTATTTCTTTATATTTATTTTCAAAACCACATTTTTTTTATTTACGTTATATATATTTTTTGGAGTCTCACCAGTCACATGGCCAGCTTACACGATCATTGCTCGCTGCGATCGAGTGGTAGTATCAGTAATCGCCATGACAACAATACGAACAATCCATATATATATTTATATATATTTATATATATGTATATACGCTCGCTATATGTAACAATATCAACAATAATGATAATGCCGCTATTAAGTCTCAAGTATAATTCTTTTGATCACTTAAGCCGATGCCTGTTGCCGTTAATTGTTCACCAGAAGGGATCCGAAGTCGAATTCGAATGCTCATCGAGTTTGTCACCCGATCGGCCAGTTACGTTGCATTATAATGAACTTGACTCACCTCGGATTGGCTTAAATGTTTAGGATTTTAAGGGATCAAGGTAGAGCAAGATTCAACAAGTAGAGTGGTTTTTACTAAAGGGTTCCCTAGTTACCCATAGATCCCACAGTCTCATTTAGTTAGGTAACCATTTGTTATCATTGTAATGTAGTGAACTATGTCATGAACATTATTGATTTATGACGAATTACGCAATCTTTTCTTTATCGTTTAAAATATTTGAAAAACAAGGAAATTGGTTTTTTTCGAGGTCATCAATTTGATTCATGAGACATTTTCACTTTTCAGACATTTTGGCTACAGTCCAGACAAGTAATTCTTTTTTTTTATTTATAGATTGAAATGAAGCATACCAAAAAATATGAATAACATATGGGTATAACATACTTACGTGATCAGTAAATAAGTTGTTATATCATGAACGTTAGAAAAATGTTGGACAAAATCAATCCAATGTTCAAAAACCAAATTGTTATTAAAATAAATAGCTAATAAAGTGTTTATCGAAGGTATTCCACTACAAAATACAATCTAATTAATTAATTTCTGTAATTTTTCATTTACCAAAGGGTAAATTTATAAATCGTCTTAAAATTAAAGAACAAAAATGTTAGGCAGGAATATTGAATATTTTGGCCAACTTTCTAGGACAATATTATTACTTTATTACTATACTCTATGAACAGTGATTATGAGTTTGATGTATGATAAGCGGGCTTTTAAGTCTTCCTCTCGCTTTGACCTGCTCTCCGAAGGAATTGAATCGAATCGAGAACAATACCCCTGCCCCTCCCATTATTTTCTTGTTTTGATTTGGTTTCTTCGTTCTTTGGTGTTATCATTTAATTGATTTGCAATTGCGGCTCGAGCACTTGGCGATGATCGCAATTTGAATATCAATTATTGAGCCTGCGCTCGCAGGCGGAACGTCGGAAGCGGAACGTTGAAAGTGGCTGACAGCGAAAACGGTAAAAGGGGGTGGTGCGCTGGTGCTGAGCGGCTGATAAGCCGCGTTCCACTGCCGCCCGTTCCGCGGATGCGATTTCGGTGTATTTAAGCGGGCGTCGAGCGGCGCTCAGATACTTTCCACCGCTTGAAGTGCACGAACGTTGATCGAGAGACCGCCCATAGTACCGCCGTCGTACCGCTCCGCTAGCCGCTTACCGCTCGTAATATCGCATCCGATACAAAAAAAAAATAAAAATAAATAACAAAAAGCAAAGAGCAGAAAAATACATTTTTTTTCGGTTTTCGATTATCGGTTACCGGTTACTGTATCGATTTCGATGCCCCTTGCTATTCACCCTTTGTGTGCCAGCCAACGGTTTTAATGTTTTCGCCAGTTTGCAACAATTGCCAAGCCACTTTGAGAACTCCGCGCACCACCAACGCCAAAATCCACTATAAGCAGAAACACAAACAGTCCACTTTGAGCTGACGAGCAATTTTCGAAAATTTAGTCTCCATCGAACAACGCCAAAAAACAACCCCTCTTTCAGAAAAAAAAAGAAAAAGTAAATAAATAAACAAACACCAAACAAGTGCAAAATACAGGGCGTAACCGCGCAGTAAAAGCAAATATTTAACGGAGCAAAAAACATATTTTATTTTTCGCAAGCGCAAAAAAAGAAACAAGTTAATTGCCAAACAATAAGCCTTTCCGAAACACAGGTGTAAACAAACCCAAAGATCTCCAGGTCGAATACGAGCACAATCCTCAAGGTAATGGAATGCCAATCAATAAAAACGAAGTTGGGGAAAATTAGCAAGCTAAATATTTAAATATATTTACACAAAACAAAACAAAATTGAAAGTTTAGTTTAAATCAAAGTGCCTTGAAAATAAACTACAGACAGTATTAAAGTATAAGAATTAATTCAATACTAAATAAAATAAGCTCAATACTTAGAAGTTTCATTTCTATACCGAAGAGTCTAAAGCTGAAGTTTTTATTTTATTTTAATAATTTCGTGATATTAATTAATAAACTTTTTGTTAAGAAATTTTTAATACCCAATAGTTTAAAATTCAGGTAACAATGGTTTAGTGTCGATGACATTTTTTGTATGGGTTGAAGGAAAGCACTGCCTTGTTCTTCTTGAAAAAACTCTTCTGGCCAGACATCTCTCGTGTTTTTCACAGTCTTTAAAATAATAAACTAAACAAATGTGGTATAATAAAGTAAACTGAAACCAAACTCTAATTGATCAATATATTAACCGAGACTCTCATAAATTTTAGTTTAAATAACCAACTTTTAAGAGAAACAAATTACTGAAATGTTAACTTATTTATTTAGACAGTTTTCCGTAGGTAATTGCTAAACTTAGCTTAAAAAATAATAATTACGTTATTTAGAAGACATTGTTCCATGCAATTGCTTAGAACATTAAAGTTTTGTAAGTTAAGAGCCTCGAACTTAAAACTATCCCTATTAAAAACGCCTCGCTTGCAAATGTTTTGCTTACATTTCCATTTTAAAGAGCATCTAAGCCATTTATCTGAGTCATATTTTTTTCGCACTGGCTTGGCAATCGATTGAGTGGTAAAACTCTAACAAATGTTTTGTTCAAATCTGTAGTTTTATGGGTTCATTCAGACTTCGAACCGATCACTATTTCCGATATATCATCAGGCTGAGTGCCCCGAAGTGCCCGTCTAGAGGCGGGTCTCGGTTTTATGTGCTAATTCATTTGAGAGATATGCAAAGGCGCAAAAAACAAAGCAATATGCACCATAAACGGTCCATGCCCGCGACTACGTCCACGTCCACGTCCACCCAATCCCCCATTTACTATTTTCTATGGCACATGCATCGGAATCGGATGACATTGAGGCCCCCCGACTATAAAGCTGGGACCAAGTCAAGTCCGGGGTATTCCATTCACACGCAGTTTTTCCAGTTGCGCTGCTTTAATTGCGCTTGAAAAAGACAATCATTATAATGCGACTTGTTAAACAACAAACTGGATACGAGAGTGCGTTTATTATGGCGCTTATACGTAGCAAAGCATACAGTCGTACTTCATTGGATAGAACTTTTCAAGTTTATGGGAGTTAAGACGCCATTAGGCATATTTAAGTATCTCCCGGATGGTTATAGTTCTAGTTGTGGGAGGTGCGACTGTACCTTTTCATTAGCTTCGGATGGAACATCGCTGGGGGGAAATGGAATGAGAATGATAATGGTAATAGGACTGGGAATGGGATCGGGAGTGGTGGAAGTGGGACTGGTACGAAGGCCAGGTGAAGGGCCATGTGGCTCCGGCTTGCGGAAGCGTAGGCGTTTACTCGTCGTCCAGGGCATAAATCAACATATATTCATATTAAAACATGGCTAATTGCTGGCGATTATCGCTTTAAAAGAGAGAGAGAGGAGGGTAGAGAAGAGGAGAGAGTGCGGAACGGAACGCACTGGCAATGAAACACAGCCACCCACGAGTGACGAACAGCTGAGCGCTGCAAAACTCGCTCATACACGAAACCAAATGGGTAGATAGTTTTCGATCAACAAGAACTTGAACTTGATTCAAAGGATATCACAAGTGTGAGACACTGGCTAACTTAAGTCTTATTTCATTTAAAGTATAGCTATCTTATACCCATTTAGTGAAAACATAATATTTTCTCCAAGTGCACTTGCCGTTGCGCTTTTGGTTCCTGTTCTCCTTCATTGCACATGCGTACGGCAGGTTCAGTTTCAGGTTCAGGTTCAATGCGAATACAAACACGAATACGAACACGAATCATTTGTATCTGATGCACATTTGTAATTGTTGTTGCTCCTGCCTAATGAATAAAGTGAAAGATTGCCGCGATATAAATCACAAATTGAATTTGATATTGCTAACGGGGGAGAGCGCAAGAAAATCGCAAATCTTTTAATTGAGCGGAAGACTCTTTTCTTCTCATACCATCGATTTAGTTTCTATTTTTTTGCTCTCCATTTTGTTAATTAATTTGATAACAAATTATTGGGGGCTGTAAACTGGTTAGCTAAAACAAAACGCCTTCATATGTTAAGTAGCATTTGGGGTTACATTTAATAACGGTTATAGAGTTAGTTAAATGAGCGAAGAGATGAAATAAAAAGGGCTAACAATTGTTTAGAACTGTCTCAAAACTGTAAATTACCTAAAAGTACTCATTATAACTATTTACTATTAACTATTTAAGCCCCCCACTCCTCTTTGTCCAGTGACATTCAAATATTCAACGAATACGAACTCAGCTCTCCCAATTATTTATTAATAAAAATGTCACCCCAAACGGGGGCTTTTTTTACGCCTTCGGCACTTTGGGTTAATTTCTGTGCTCGCGACTATTTCGGGCATAATTTTTTATTAATCAATTACGATGTTGTTTGTGCGCGACGAACAGATCGTTCATTTATTCTGCTCAATTGCCGTCCAATTGCGTTAAATTAACCCACTTCTCCCGATGGCGAAACAATCGATCGGTCGATGGTTAACTAATCGATACTTCTCTCCGTCTTTTCATTGCAGACCGCTAAGCGAGGCAGACACAACTGTACCCATCTAAGCAGAGCTTAGAGCAAACCGCAACCAAAAAAACCCCCAAAAAGTAATCCCAATTTCCTTTTTGCTACGCGCACAAGAAGCCAAAAAACCCCTGAACTATAGAATGGTAGAAGGTGATTCCGCAAAGGGCAAAAGCGAATGTAAGTACTAGTTTTAGTTTTTAGTTTACATTTAAGAAAAGATTAAAAATCGAAAAGTTATAATTTTCAAGACTTTCTCACTTGCACTAAAACAAATAAATCTAGTTGAACAAAATATTAAATATTACATTTACATTTGAATAATTATAATTATGTATATAAAATATTATGATTTTAAAATCGGTTCTTTTCAAAAATGTTATTTATTTAATTTTGTAAAAGTTAAAAGATATAATTTGTAATACTAGTCACCTAATTATAATTCCAAAGATTGTATAGTAAACAATTTCAATTCAATCTCATTGCCGTTTTTAGTTATTTTAAATAATATTTCTTTTAATATTCAATTAGACTTTTGCCCAAACATATTTTAATATCAAAAAATGTAATATAAATATTATGCATTTAAAACAAATAGGACCCATTTTAAATCTAATATTTTTTCACATTAGCTTAAATATTTTTATATCAAATCATGCAATTTAATATGCATTGCATATTTAATTAAAATATATATATATATATATATATACAATTTTGGATTCCAAATACTTGTTTTCACCATTACATTTTTTTAACCACTGTAGATATTCCCTGTTGATCGTTGTTTTAACCGCCTGACTAACCCCTGGTTAACCCCTTAACTTACAGCCTATAATGTAGAAGCTGGACTACAACCAAACTACAACCAGAGCGCAGCAAGCAACCAAGCAAGCAACCATCCAACTGGCCAGGTCAACGCCACCGCCGTCGCCGTCGCCACCGGAAACGCGAATCCGCACATCGACAACCGAGCGATCATCCAGCCGTACTCCTTGGGCACCGGATCCAAGCAGCCGGAGTATCAGTTTGCGGCGGACAATCGCGGCTACGAGCCGGACAGCCATGCCTCCAATGGCAAGCCGCAGGACGTAGAGCGGGATGCCCCCGATGGGGGTCACGGGGGTCACGGAGGCCCCGGCAAGCCGCACAAGGGTCGCAAGAAATCCGCACCCTTGCCGGAACCCACCGCCCCGATAGTCGCCAACTTCGAGAGGGCCATCGAACTGTGCGGCTATGGCAAGTTCCACTACATACTGCTGGCCATCTGCGGCCTGGTCAGCACGTCGGAGGAGATGGACGTCATCTCGATGTCGTTCATCCTGCCGTCGGCGGAATGTGACCTGGACCTGAACACGGAGACCAAGGGCTGGCTGAACTCGATCATCTTCATCGGCATGATGGTGGGCGCCTACTTCTGGGGCAGCATCGCCGACAGTTTCGGTCGCAAGAAGGTCCTCATCGTCATCTCGTTCATGAACGCCTTCTGCATCGTCGCCTCGTCCTTCTCGCAGTCCTACTCCTTCTTCATGCTGTTCCGGTTCCTCAATGGTGCAGCGTAAGTACTTCTACATCAAACCATAACAGTTCCAAAAAAAAAACTCATTTTAAAAACGAATGAGAAAATGAGCAATTTAACCCTTTTTGCCTATCCGTTAAATAAAAATATATACTAGCAACAAATAAAAAAAAAAAACAATTATAAAAAGGTTCTACCAATTTCAAATATTAATTAGAAACAGATTTATCTATCCTAAAAGCTTTTTTTTAAGGACTTTTAATTAATTAATTATAAACAATTGGTTAACATAATCTTGGGGATAAGATAGGGACAAGCTCACAGCTTTTTCAATTAAGAATCAGTTCCATTTTTTTAAAAATACCCTCTGTTTATTTTGAAAATGTATACATATTTCATATTGTTGTGCCGCAAACAAGAGCCTGAGGTGATATTACTGCTCTATGCAGCCATGGATCATCGGTCGGCGATCGATTATTGTGGATCGAGTGACACACGGGCCCGGACCCGGGGCAAAGTGTTAATTCAATTACCTCCGGTATAAATAACAACAAAATATTTGAGCCGCAATATCGTGACTGTTTATGCTAATTAAAGGCTCGAATCCCCTCGAAATCCGATCGAAATGCCCCAAAATGTAACGAAAAAAAAAACGAAAATCGGCAAAAGCCCAAAATCAAAAACCAAAAACATAGCAAGCAAATGGAAAATCTCAGTTCAGGCCTTGGCCCCCTGGCTTTTGGGTTACATTGACGCTTAGTCATTGGTTTCCCCTCATGCTCACCCATATTTAACATTATTTTTGCCAATCGTTTGCTAATTACCCGAGCGAACTGACTACAATTATTTCGCAATGTTTTGCGAAGTATATTTGAATACATTGTTTTTTGCTAGTGTATTTTTTTTGTTTATAATTATCCAAAGGGTCTGTAAAATTTTCTTATTGTATTAATCGATTGCTTCTGTAAAAAAATATTGAATAATTGCAAAATGACCAATAGGTGCCACATATTTACGATAACAAATCGATAGATTTAATTAAAGAATTTCAAAATTCCTGATAAACTATTGAATAATAGTGAATATTGAATAATTGCAATATGCGCGATAACTGACACATGATTACGATAACAAATCGATAGCTAAACTAATGGATCCTTTCGTTGTCGTGATTCTTTTCTTGCAGTTTGGGCGGCAGTGGTCCTGTGATCTGGTCGTACTTCGCCGAATTCCAGCCGAAGGCGAAGCGCGGCTCCATGCTGAGCTTCATGGCCGCCTTCTGGACATTCGGCAACCTGTTCGTGGCCAGTCTCGCCTGGCTGATCATCCCGCGTTCGATCGGCTTCATCACGCCGTACTTTACGTACAACTCGTGGCGCATCTTCCTGCTGGTGTGCTCCCTGCCGTCGTTCTTGGTTGGATTCCTGCTCTTCTATCTGCCCGAATCGCCGAAATTCCTGCTGACGCGCGGCAAAAAGGACCGTGCCCTGGCCATTTTCCGTGGCATTTTCGTGACGAACACGAAGCGTCGACCGGATGAGTATATGGTCTATGACCTGGAGGTGGACGAGAAGCTGCTGGAGAGCAATGGCAATGTGAAGAACAAGTATAGCCGCATGATCAGCGGCATGGTGGACCACAGTCGTGCGCTGTTCAAATCGCCCATCCTGCGCTTCACCATCGTCTCGATCACGATCAACTTTACATTCCACATTGGCTACTACGGCCTGTTGATGTGGTTCCCGGAGCTGTTCAACCGCTTCGAGGAGTACGAAAAGGCCTTCCCGGGCGAGTCCGCTGGCGTCTGCTCGGTCACCGACTATGTGGTCAACTTGGCCAAGGAGCAGAGCAACAATGGCACATGCAATTCGGATATACCGCAATCGGTGTTCATGGAGTCACTGATTTCGTTGGCCTCGGCGCTGCCGGCCAATCTGCTGGCCATCCTTGGCATGGACATGCTGGGCAGGAAGTTCTTCCTCATCGCTGGCACAATGACCGCCGGCATCTGTTCGGCGCTCATGTACTTTGTGCGCAGCTCCGTGCAGAACCTGGTCGTATCGGCCATCTTCAGCGGGGCCATCTCGGCCGCGAATGCGGCACTGGACTGCCTCATCACCGAAGTATTCCCCACCAAATTGAGGGCCACCGGTGTGGCCATCTCGATGGTTGCGGCCCGTCTGGGCGGCATCATTGGCAACATCGTGATCGCCCAGCTGCTGGACAACTATTGTCCATCGCCCACGTTCATCGTGTCGGGCCTGCTCATCGGCGGCGGTCTCATGTGCCTCCTGCTGCCCAATACGACGCGCAAGGAACTCAATTAATCACCTAATAACTAATCATAATTATCCCTCCTCCCCTACAAATATCAGATCCCAAAACTGTAGCCCATCTGCCTTGTGTTGAGTTGATATCTAATTGATTGTACACATCACAGTGATCACACATCATAGTGGTTCAAGCTCAAAGACATAAAAAAAAAACCCAATCAACAAAAAACGATATCAACTCGATTGCCAGACGGATGGGCTTAGTACATACATATATTTTATCCTTCACAAATCGGCAATAGTTAAAGAGAATACAAAACCCACAAGTAATTTCCATGTGCCCCCATCCCGCCAGAGGATTAAGGGGGCTTATCTGTGTATATATGGTATGTGTGTGCTACAATACACGATTATTTGTATCGTCAGTAATTATTTAACGATAGCGATAACGATTTTCTTTGTCTGTCTAATTTTAAACACTCCCCCCTCTCCCCCTACAAATATCTATCTATCTATTGGAATTTAGACGAGCCAACAAAAAGAGAAATCAGTAAATGGGCAAAGGGAAAAGGGCGAAGGGCGATGGGGAATACGATCATATCATATCGAGAAGAAATGTGATGATAAGCCGAGTCAAGCCATATGCCTTTGCCCAAAATGATAAACAAAGAAAACCCCAAGCCAGCGAGAAGATATAGCAGGTAGAATCGATCGATTGCAATCGATGTATATGTATTGTATGTACGATATGTATTTTGTGTGTAGTAGCGGTAGTAGAAGTAATATATATATATATATTTGGCAAGCGCCGGCGCCGGCTGAAGCAGCAGCAGAGGATCTGAGTAACGGTAAAGCTAGGCCCAAGGTTTCAATACCGATTCAATCCCAAGAATAATACTATAGGGTCACGTGGGCTAACCTACTCACCACCTCCATTCTGCTGTCCGTTATTGTTGTTATTATTGCTATTATTAAAGCATCCAATGTAAAACACATACGTATATAACTTTATCTAAATATTAAACATTTATCGAAAACCATTTTTCTATAACATATATTTGTACACATATCTATACAAATTTTTTTTTTGTTTTTTTTTTCGTCATGTAGGACCAAAGCACAGGAAGTGAAAGAATATTTGTAAAATTTAGTTACGTTATTAAAAGTTACGCTACATATATATACAAGAAAAACCTAATAAAAAAAAGAACAAACCACAAAAACACAAAGTTTATAATTTGAAAAGAGGGGATTTTGAAAACTGTGGGGAAATAAATTGAATTTAAAAATGCCAAAAGAATACCTGTTTCTTAATAAAACAGCCTTTTTTTCTAGCTCTGAAGAGTCATCCTGAACTTTGCCAAGTTCGATTCCATTCAAGATCAGTTTAATCAGTCGCACATCTGTGGATTTCGAATAGAACACGCGACTTGGCTAATGTTTATTTGCTCAATGAATGAAAAATATTGACGAGGACGTGGAGCCGGCCAGCAGCAGGCCAGAATTAGCGTTAATTAAATAAATCCATTGCCCAGATCCGCAGACTCACAGATTCAACAAAAGTACCCATGCATGTACATATGTACATATTTATCTAGCTAAACTAAACAGAAGTGGACGTGCATGTCTCTTGGGTTAAGCGCTCAAAGAAATTCGCCGACAAATAAAAATAGCCGAACAAATGTCGAAGTTTTCCCTCAGTAAATTGGAATTGGTTGAAAATTATAGTGTAGTATATATGTACATATATGTAAACCGACACGTGCAAAAAATCGACAAGTGGGAAGAATCAAATAAAAGAGAATTCATATAAAAAGATTAGCAATGTTGATTTGCGTCATTAAAAACAAAAATGCCCAAATTTCCAATTTGAAATGGACAAACATAAAAAAATTAATTCACAAGTTTAAAATATTTTATGATGTCACATAAATCTCTAAAGAAAAAATCTATAAATATGTTAAGAAATACCATTTGTTTCCAGGCATGTCTATGTGTTTGAGTTTTTAATAGTTTTCTTTACTTTTTTTTTAACTTTCTATTGAAAAAAATGAATTCCATTGATTTACAGATTGTTCATTTTATCATTCTTCCCGACATTATAATAGACTATATTGGTATAATAAATAACAAAATCATTTGTTACATTTCAAATATTATACACATTTTGGGTGGCACAATGTACACATGTATAAATCAAAATTCAGAGATGTTGCGACAGCTGTGATAATTTGATCAGTGAGAATTACGCGACTTGAGGGAAGTAGAACTTGCTAAACTAAAAAAATGAAACAAATATAAAAGCTTTTCTTCCACTGCTTTTCTTTACAAAAATGTTGCCTGCTTTTAGGATCTCTTAACCCAGAGTCGAACTTGTAAGTTATTTATGTATGTAGGTATGTATAAAACAATGTGATTTGCACTTAAAAAAATAAAAAGTATGAAAGATTTGTATAAAATATAAATATTTTTCTAATCCCCCCATTAAAAACAGTTAAAAAAATACCCGTTTTCAAATGGAATATTCTTGAAATATTATTTATTCATTTAAAAATATATAAATGTTGTTTGTATTTATTTTTTTGTTTCTTTTCCTTCATATGACATTTTGGAATGATTATTTAATGCATTACATCGGCTTGTCTCTAGGTGTGTGTGTGTGTGTGTGTGTTTGGGTGTTTCTGTGTGTGGGTTTTTAGTCAGATTTAATCGCTACATAGGCACGTCAGTTCTATTTGTTGATGCTGCTTGCAATGGATCCTTATGAATATACGCTTTAAAATATATATTTATATGTACTTTAAATTATATTTCATAGACATCATTCTTTGCATTTCATACAAAAAATTATTTTTTTTAAATCTATTTCATAAGGTGTGGCTAATAAATATGATATAAAAAAAAAAAAAAAAAAAAAACTAATTTATAAATTTAGTTTCGTATGCGTTTAAATGTTATATATTTTTTATATGGATATATTTATAAGTAATGAATATATAGAAAATACTTTGCACAGTATGTGGGTGTATGTGTTTTTGTATGAGTGTGGGTTGGTGGAGGGAGGGAATCATTTATTGATTGATTGATAAAAAGCAGTTACAATTTCAAATTGTACAAAAATGTAAAAAAAATACTATTTCAACCAGTTTCTAACGCAATCTCGCTCGCTCGCTCACTCTCTCTCTCTCTCTCTCTATCTCTTGCTATCTCTTTTTCTCTAACTTCTGACCTTAAAAGCTATACAAAAATAAATTGCAGAGAAATGCAATTTCATCCACAACAAAAAAAAATAAAATATATATTCCTAAAATTGGCTGTAAATAAATACAGTTCTGAGTCATCAGCTTATCTTCAGTTTTCTTCTTTTTTTTTTTGCTTTGTTCTTTTGTGGTTTTTTTTTTAATTCTCATTTTTAACTAACAATTGGCTACGAAGTTTTTAACATTGATCGTTTGTCTTGATTTCATTACTTTCTTTCTTAAATGGGCTTGATTGGAGGATGGATTCGGAGTAACTGTCTAATATGGAAAAAGAATAGGAGAAAGAAAGAAGAAAAGGGTATACAAGTCCTTGGGGGAGTTATTAAACTAATGGCTTAACACCACTTTAAACACACACAAAAAAAAACATTTTGTGATTGATTTTGTAGTTTCCAGCCTGGTTATAGCTAAACAAAATTTTGGTAGGTCTTTGGAAATGTAAGAGTGTATAAAAAAAAGGTTTTAAATAAACAACACTTTTGTTTTAATTGCCCTAAACTAATATTATAAGTTTTTAAATGTTAATTTTTCTTACATTTTCGACCAAAACACAACATATTTTATTGTATACGATTTAAAAATCAATTACGTTTCTATATACATACATTTAACTTTATATGCTAATAATTTCAAATGAAAATATTGGAAATTTTAAAAGTAATTAGTTCTTAAATGTATGAACTCTAAAGTGTGCAGTAATGAAATGTGCATTTAAAGCTAGGAATGACTTCCGAATATATTGCATTTGGAAAAATGAATTCTACACAAATCTTCAGTGGTGTTTGGACCTCATTGAATAGGCAATTTTTCCTCTCTTTCTCCCATCTCTCACTTTTCGATCTTTTGTCTCGGTCACTTGTTAATGATTAACATTCTTCTGTTGCTTTAGGTTTAGTTTTGTTTATAATTGCACTTATGTTGCTAGCTTTCTTAACTTTCTCTCTAGCTGCTGTTTGTTCTGCTTCCGTTTGCTTTGTTCTGATTGTTATTTTATCGTTTGATGCATTAATTTAACTAAATTAAAGTTCAGTACTGAATAATTGCTTATGTGTGTGTGTGCGTGAGTAAAATAAATAAATAAAATATGATGAAAATCTTTAAATACATTTCTCAGCTAAAAAGCACACACACACAAGGACATGCGATCAATAAATATGATAATTAAATTATTCAAAATAATCCGCTAAGTGTGTGTTGGTGTAGTGTATTTGTATGTGTGTGTGTGTGTGTGCGTTGGCGTGTGGATGGAGGAAGAGGAAAAGGAAGCTGCTGAAATAAAAGGAAATATTTTTCTCGCTTGGAATGAAAGTGTTTTGGGCGTTTCTTTTTTTTTTTTTGTGTGTGTGTTACATTCTAGGAATGCTTAGCATATATATATTGGATATATAAATCTAATATAGAAACATACCATATATGCTATCTCATATCGATTACAAATACAAATACATTTCAAGCGCGCTTTCTCTTTCAAATACTATATAAAAAATACAAGTTGTTGTTGTTGTTGTTGTTGTTGCTGGTCTATGCATTTGGATTAGGGTGGCTCGAAAAAAAAAATACATTAGACTGAAAAATCATAGTTGTGGACAATTGATAGGCATTTTATGTTGAAAACTCGTAGACCTACAAGTTCAAAGTCAAAGTGCCTAAGAATTGCCCGATAGCTTACTTGCTGCCCTACGATTCTGATCCACTCCAATGCGTGTATTATTTAACTCTAGGTGAAGATGGGAAGGACGACTTCCGGTCGATCGGCTAGCGCGTGAAGGCACTGAGAAAGTGTGGCCCGCCCATGTCAAACTGCTGCTGTTCGTAGCTGTCGTCGGCCAGGCCAAAACTGTTGCCGGCCAGTCCAGCGCTGCCGTTGCCGCCACCGCCACCGCCACCGACAACACCGCCACCGACAACACCGCCGACGCCGGCCAAGCTAGCTGCCGCTGCTGCGGCCGCCACCGTGGCCGCTTTCAGCTGACTAATGGCCAGCATGGGTGGCTTGTCGCCCGGCTTCCAGCGCCGGTGGATGCCCATCGATTTGAGCTTCTGGCAGACGGACGAGGGCGATATATTGATACCCTTCTCGGCCAGGCGGGCCGACACCTTCCAGTACTGTATGTTGCTGTCCTCCTTGATTAGCTCGAGTATTTCGCGCGTGATCTCCTTGTCGCGCAGTTCGCGTTCGGCGGCCTTTAGCCGGCGGCGAGGATGTAGCAACTTTGGTGGCGTTTGTTGCTGTTGCTGATAGTGTGATGTGTCCGCTGGTGTGTGATGACGCAGCTGCTGTTGCTGTTGCTGCTGCTGTTGCTGCTGTTGAAGCAGCAACTCCTGTTGCTGGCGTTGCTGTTTGATTAGCTCCATTTGCTCCATTTGCTGTTGCTGATGTTGCTGCTGTCGCTGAATCTCCTGCTGGCGTTGCTGTTGCTCCTGTTGTTGCTGTTGCTGTTGTTGCTGCTGCTGTTGCTCCTTGGCGGTGAACTCCTCCGAATGCCTGCCATCGGATCGCTTGTTGCGGTAGGAGAGCGGCACTCCCTTGAGAATGGCGTCGCGCACCTTCCAGGCCGTCATTTGGGAAACGTTGAGGGCCCGTGCAATCTCCATGGTGGAGGAGTTCTGGGCCACCAGCAACTTGGCCATGGCGTACTTCTCGTCATCGATGAATACGTTCGGCTTGCGTGGCTTCTTGCCGGTGGGCGTCGCCGACGCAGATGCAGCGGATGAGCCAGAAACGGGCACTGGGCCTGCCGTGTTGCTGCTGGAGCTGCCATTGCTGTGGAGTGAGATTTGCGCATTAAGGGACATATTCCCCGAGTTGAGCACCCCTTTGACACTCACCTCTCGTTGCTGTTCATGTGGGGCATTGAGCGCAGGGACAGGTTGACGGGCAGGGCGTGCCTAAAGTATGAAAAATAAAAACATTATCAAATATTGAACCGGTGTCCTTTTATATCTTAATACTAAGATGAGCTATAATTACCAGACATTAATTATCAAAAAAATAAAATAGATAACAAATCAAATCAAATCAAAAAAAAAAAAACAAGAAATGCTTAAAAGATTTTGTTTTTATTGTCAAAAGTCTGAAAGAATCAAACCCAGTTTTGGTATTTCTATTTCAGTCACTATGAAACTCTATGACACTATCATTCTTCTTCAAATTCGTCATAAAATTTCCCAATCGATTGCCATTCACAGTTGAAAATTTCTTTTTTGTTAAATTTTCGCAAAAAAAAATGCTTAAATTGGACAGCAAATGAAACTTTCCTATTCCACTGAAGTCGATTGTTTAGGTCTTTAGCTATACAAAACAGTCATATTTTTCATAGACCGTCTTTTTTATGATGTCATAATTTCCAATTGATTGGCATTCTCAACTAAACAATTTAATTTTTTGTGCATCTATTTTGCGTCGTTTCTTTATATACAAAACTTTTTGTGATAGGAACCGTTGCTAATCATATTATTCATTTTCAAATAACTAAATAAATAAACTCAATAGCTAGTTAGCACAATATTTGTGATGGCCAAACATATTTAAGAATTTTTTCGGTAGGAACTTGTTGCTAATCATATTATTTAGGCTAAAGTATTTATGACTAAAGTTAAGATAACAGTACCTATATATTTATGGTTTCCTAAAATACTATAGAACTGATTAAAATTAGTTAATTTAGTAAATGCTGAACACATGTTGACTTTTTGAATGACCCTGAATTGATTTAATAATTGATTTATAAATATAATCTTAATCAAAAAATCATTAAAACACAGACACACAGAATTATTAAACAAAACCTCGACATGGTACCAATTCATATCTAAATTATCACCACCTAACTTCCCACATAACTTCCCCGAACTTAATAGGAGACAACAAATCGTAATCACCCGCTTGCGACTTGGCCACACAAAGATAACAAACGCACACTATATTGACCGTTCAATACCGAACACATGCCCACTGTGCAACAACGCTCTTCTAGACGTTAACCATATCCTTTCCCTTTGCCCTTCTCTCTCAACACAACGATCCTCATCATTCCCCAATCTAAACCCAACCCAGGCCTTAGCCAATCCCACCAAAGTTAATTCCCTAATGATCCTCACTTTCTTAGAAAAATCAAATATAATCTACACAATATAAACTATTCTTAAGGCATATAAGTTCATCAGAAAATGTATATATATATATAAAACCATAAGTAGAATAATAATATAAGATAAATAATTAAATAATGCTAGTATAAAATACTAAACCACCCTCAGAGCTGAAGGCCTCTTGCAGCTATAGCTCTAACCACAATTTCTGTTAACTCCTAGTTTTAACTATTAGTTAGCATTGTATAAATAAATAAATAAATAAATCTTACATGACGGCGGGCGGATAACGAGTCAGCATCGGCATTCCGCCGTTGTGGGCCTTTTGGTGCTGCAGTTGCTCACGTTCACGTTCCCGCTGCTCCCGCTCCCGCTCGCGATGCTGCTGCTGCATCTGCAACTGCTGGGCGTTGACGATGTGGGGGAAGTGCTGCGATTCGGCCAGCAGACGTTTATAGACCTCAACATCGGATCGCGCGGCAGCGTGGACCTGCACCGGCACCGGCACCGGAACACCAGAACTTCCCAGCGATGGCGGCGGTAGCGGTGGCGCGGGCGAAACCGAACCCGGTCGCCCACCATTCGAGTGATGGTCGTTGTTCTCGGTGCCCTCGAAGGGATCGTGCTCAATGGGATCAGAATCGGGATCGGGATCATAGCCATTGTGGAGCAATCCACAAACGGCATCCTCATCCCCCATATAGCCAGCCGTCTCCTCGGCGCCGATCTCCTCCGCTCCGCACTCATCCACCAGACCCAGTTGATGATGTGAATGATGGTGATGACGTTGCTGCTGCTGCTGCTGATGCTGCTGCTGCTGCTGCTCTTCATCCTCGCTGTCCTGCCGCTCCTCTTTGATTAGACCCAAGCCAAGGTGGCTATAGGGAAGGTTCAGATGATGATGCTCACGTTCACGTTCACGTTCCCGTTCCGCTTGTGCCGCTGCCACAGCAGCGGCCTGTTGCTGTTGCTCCTCCTGCTGATGCTGCTGCTGCAGCTGTAGCTGCTGATGGTGCTGCTGCTGCAGCTGTTGGAGGTGATGCTCCTCCTGGGATGGATCCACCACGCGCTCATGCAGACTGACACCATTAACCAGACTTTTGCGCAGGCGCCAGGCGAAGGTGCGTGAGATATTTAGCTCGTTGGCAATCACCGTGGTGGTGGCCTCGCGCAGTATCAACTGCTTGGCCAGGGCAATCTTCTTGGCATCCAACTTGATGCGAGTGCGTCCCTTTCTCTTGTTGGCTAGGCCCAGTCTGCAAGTAAGAGAAATCAGCCAATTTTACAAGGGATCCATGTAGATAAGTTTTAATGAAATACTTACTTGCGATTATTCACATGCAGTTCAGGAGCCGTGGGCTTACGTGCTCCTCCGGCAGCGATCCGCTTGGGGAAATTGTTGAACTGCACAATGTTCTGCTTAAATAGCTGCTGCAGGGGCCTACAAAGTTATAAAGAAATGGTCCATATACACAGAATTCACATAATCAATGTACACAATTAGTGCCACTTACATTTTGGCTGCCTTGGAAGGACAACCGGTGCGCTTATGCCAGCCCAAATGGTGGCCCGTGGGAAAGAGGACATGGCAATCCGAGCACTGCATGGGCCGACTATTGAAATAAGAAATCAAACTAGTATCTTATTGCACTAAAAGATCCTCACTAAACTCACGTTTGATTGCGACGCTTCTTCACGCACCGACCACGCCGTATGTGCTTCTCCAGAAAACGTTTGTAGAAATATGTTTTGCGGCAATTGCTGCACTCGTACACCGGCCCCGGTGCTCCATGGACGCTTTGCATGTGCGCCTTGAGGATCTGCTTCATCTCGAAGATCTGATAGCAATGGGGACACTGGAAACCAGGTCCCCGCATTCCCTGAGCCACGCCAACGCTGGCTCCTCCGTTGACCAAATCATTTGGATTTGAGAGATCCGCCGATGCTTCGTCGCCTGGCGTGATCAACTCGATTTCGGGTATCAGCGGCAGCGACATGTCCTCGTCATCGTCATCATCGTCGTCGTGGTGATGCTGCTGCTGGTCGAGATCGAGCTCCATATCCTGACCCGGTGGACCGGTGGCGGAGCCATTGGGAAACTTGTTCATCTGATGCTGCATGTACTCCTGCATCAGGCGAATGGAGTTGAAGTCGAACGGCTCCTTGGGGTGCACGCCATGGACGGTTATCTCCCCATCGTCGTTGTGGTTATGGTGGTGGTGGTTCAGGGGATTTATCTCCTCCACATCATCCTCATTCTCAGGATTTGTTCCCCTTAACTCAAGACCGTTTCGATGATGGTCGTCTTCTTGATCATCGTCTCGCTCCCCGTCATGGCCAGTTTCGTTATGGTCATCCATATGCTCGTGGACCACATCATCGTCGTCCTCGTCCCGATGGCCATTGATGGACTGGCCATGACCATTTGGCAGAAGCTTGTGTGCCTCGCCAGCCTCAACTTCATTGTCATTATCCTGATCGTGATCGTGATCGTGATCGTGATCATTGTCCTCGTCCTCGTCGGAGGAGGAGGAACTGCTGCTGGTGGAACTGCTGCCACTTCCGCTGGCACTGCTGCTTCCGCTGCCACTGCTGCAGCCGCTGCTTTTGGTCTGGTCGGCGGCGGCGCTGTTCTCCAGCGGATCCGCACTCTCGATCTTCTGGAGCCTCAATTTTTGGCGGTAAAAGTTATCCGCCTCCTCGCACTTCTTTTTGAAAACGCAGGCCGAAATGACCGTCTTCGCACAGCTCACACACACCTGTTGCGGTAGGGTGTCGTTTTTGCTGATCTGTAAAGTTTGAAAAGATAGGATTTGGTTTCAAATTCAAATTTCACCTATGCCAAATGTAACGGCTAGCACAAGATTGCCAGATTGATGAAAAATAACCAAGTTAATAGCGGTTCACAGTGATTACCCACGAAATCTAAGCTACGATATAAAAGTATCTTACTTTAGATAAACTTCATTTACAAGATGTTTTGTAACTTTTCTGTTTAATTTCTGACTAAAGAGTTATTTGTTGCTTTTACTGAAGAACCACTGTATCTTCACCTACCTACCCCAATTAATAGCATCCTTATTCCGAGCGTTGCCAGATCAGACATTACGAATTGCCCAAAGACAACATGAAATTCCTTGAATTGGCAACATAATCTACTCAAGTGGGAAAATTGCACAAATAAACCAGAAAATTGCAGCATTTCAACGGTTGAGGAAAAACACATAAGGAGAAAATCAAATTGAAATATGCACATGAATTGTAAAAACACCAATGCGAATAAGGGGGCGAAGACACACGGGCGAGAAAACACACAGAGCCACCCCATTCACATTCACGTGCCACCTCTTACCCCTTACTTTACCCCTTACCAGTCCAGAATCGAGGGGCCAACGAACGTCTAAGCCGAACATAAAGTGGGAAATGGGCAAAGAGCGAGTACACAGTAGGAAAAAAAGTAGTAAGTAAATAATATTTATCTAATTTAAAGGCACGGGTTCAAATCGCACCACGTCCCAATGGAGTTTAATTTATATCAGCATACTAATGTCATTTGACTTTTGATAAAACACAAATAAATTATGTTTAAAATTTAAAAAAAATTTTATTTCCTATACTTTTTCTGTTTATGTAGCAGTGTCAAAGAGATTAAATGGGGCTAGGAAAAGAGAGCGAAGAGAGCTAAGATTGAAAAGTTAAGTAAAGGAAAAATTTATGAAATAAAAACCCAAGACATATGTACATACATACATACAGACAAACGACAAAAAAAAAAAAAAAAAAAAAAACAAACACTTCTAAACAGCAATTCAAACGGTAAATTATTTTACAAAAGCCACCGCAGAGAAACGAAACGAAATGAAGAAATACAAAATTCGAAATACGGCTAAAGACAAGACCAAAAAACCCACAAGAAATTCCATCGAGCTGCGACGGAAAAAATATGAAACGCTCGTTGAAAAAATTGTATACACAATATGAATAAAATAAACTAACCAAAGCCGAAGCCATTCCACCGAACAAATAAACAGAATAAATGGCCAAAGAGGAGTGGAGCAACAAGACAAAGCAATGAAAACTGATTCCAAATTACACACACATATGGGATACAAGATATAATACGTACGGGCGAATGTGTATGAAAATTAATATGAATAATAAATACGTGGAGTGGCTGTGTTGGTGTGAATAACTTTCATGTGTTTGCTTTTTTTAGTTTTAGTATTCCACGAAGAAGAACACAACAACAATCTTGGATTACATACAAGCAGTGGGCTCAAATAGTCGACACACCTCGTTAAAAATAAATATAGACCCAAAAAGATCTTTCACTTCAGTCCTCCTGTTCAACACAACTGTTTGCCAAATAAGATAAAACCAAAATATTTGCTTCCTGTCATAGAATGTTTTTTGATATACATACATAGGTATTCTAAGCGCTATTTAGATATTTAGATGGTTCGCATGGAATACAAATTAGGATCGATTTTATACATATGCAAACAGCTCGAAAAGCTTTACAGAATCAACGGGATAAAAAAGACAAATAGAAATTCACAGCAAAACATCAAAATCAATAAATACAGTGGTTGGTAGCTATAGAAATATTGCTTAATTAATTGGTTTAAAGATTCTTCCCAACTACCCAACCACCCAACTACATATGCGATTATAACATTAACTATCTTTCTTTTGCCTACACAGTCATTTATAATAATTGTGAAAAGAAAAAAGATTTTACAGTAAAATTTTCCATGATTTTTGAGGTCACCCAGGTATGCCTAGGGCACGTGCTTGCTTATTTTAACGTCTATTTTAATCAGTCGTTATGAAATCAGTCCTAAAATGTTCTTATCAAAAAGTTTACCATCTAAAGATGATAAGGGGGCTATGTAAATTGAGAACTATAATATCTGTTCTACAAACCCAATTTACTGTATTTATCCCTAAATAGACTTATCTATGTTAGATAACTAATATTATATTCTATAATTAGATTTATATAAAAATATAAATTAATATATACAAAAGTATTAAACGTTTTTTTAAGAAAGAAATTATAATCAGATAATATTCTAATCTTCTCTTATATTTCCCCATTGACAATGGAGAAAACCAAGTTCTATTGGCCGGATGAGTTTGCAATTCTTGACCTTCGGTTTACCCTTCACCTCTGCTTTTCCACCACTTTGTTCCCCTGCTCAGACTTGTTAGTTTAAGAATTTGTCACCCTTTTTGCTGGCCCTATTTTAAGCACCCCATTTTGTTGCTCGTCTTTCTCTTAGCTTTTTTCCACTCACCTTGACGTTGGCCAGCGTGGTAATCTTCTGCCAAAGCGCATCCTCGCCGAAGATGGGTATCATGGGCAGGGCTGTGGTGACTGTTGCAGTGATGTTGTTCTGTTGTTGCTGATGGTGGGTGGTGATGCAGATGCGACATAACGGTGGGGCAATTCCGCCCCCAACCTCCTGCTGACCATCGCTCTCCATCGCGAGAGATTGTTACCCAGGGAACTGGAACTGGAACGGGAGGAACTGAAGGAAATGGAGCTGCTGCAGGAGTAACAGGAGGAGTAACCGCTGGCCATCAACTGCATGCCTTCCACTGGTTCCTGGTCCTTCTGCTTCCACTGAGAGTCGTCGTTCCACAAATCTCCGGCAGTGGGTGGATCAAATCAATCAGTTGTCAAATCGAATCCAATATCGATGGAATGGGAAATGGAATACTTAGAAAGGGAGTACCACCACAACCGGCAACAAGTGGCAAATCTCTCTCCCGCGAGAGAGTAGCGCGCGGAACAAACGGAAAATCGAAGAAACAGAAACGGGAGAACGGAACGTGTTCCGGTTGTACCGACGACGTTTGGTAAACTGAAATGGGAATGCAGAGCAGAACAAGAAAACTATTTATTAATAATGGGGCATAAACGAAAAATGTGTGTACGAAAATAAAAAAAAATAAAAATTAAAAGAATATATACTCTTATACGAATGATACGAAGGCAGCAACGATCAAGACGCAAAGAAAACTAAATAAGAGTTAACAAAACAACGAGCAAGCAAACTAGAAAATAAATGTGAAAAATAAAAAAAAACACACACAGAAAAACACAATGATGGCAACACAATGGCACACATACGAACATACTCCTTGCCCGTACATATGTACATATATTTATTGTGTGGATTTCAAAAACAACACCAGCAACAACAAAACAATTCTTACTGTCGTAGTCGCCATACAAAAGTTATGAACTTGATACACACACAAGCAAACACAAAAATAAAATTACACAAAAGAAAACAAGTCGAAACTAAAAAATAACATCTATACACACACACACACACACACAGTTACAGGGGTATCTCACAGATACAGAAACAGATACAATGACAGAGAAACACGAACAAATAATAATAGCAAAAATCGTAACGAAACGAAATGAAATAAAACTTTATATCTACAAAAGTTAGGAATGAGGGGAAGGTTGGGGGATTATAGAGGAGATAGGGCGGAAGACAAAGCACACAAAGTACGATAAATTCATGGTCGCTCTCTTTCGCTCATTATGGAATGGGAAAAATGGCTGTAATTTAGTTGAGCAATTATTTTTTAGTTTGCCATTCGCTCCATCGGTAAAAGCATCTCGATCAATAAATCACCAGCGTCATCGATAAGCCAGCGGCAAAAAGTCATCGAACTATCGACGTTTTCATTCCATTTAACTAACACCCCCTCCCACTTAAACAACTACTGGAAAGAACAAGGTGAACGAACGGAAATGGAAAATGCGTGGAACACAGCACAACAGAAAACTACGAACAAATTCCAAATGCAATTCAAGTTCAGCAACGGAATGCAAAAATTCTCAACCAGTTTCTCCTCCCGAGAACTTTTTGCAAAAAATCATATCCAAAAAAAATAGGCGCGGATTGTGTGGGGTAATGGGGGGTTAAGAATCCTAGGCACATGAGTTTGCAAATTGAAATTCTGTTTTGATCTTCTACCCGAAGATCTCTCTGTTTTTTGTTCCTATCTGCATGGAAAGAGAACAAGAACAAGCTCTCGCATAATGATGCACAGAGAGCAAGCGAGCGAGCGGCACCTGGAAACTGGAACTGGTAAAAAGACCAAAGCAATTTGCAATACATATTTGTACAACGGGTACTACCCCCCAAGCACTCTCCGCATACTCCTTGAAAAACATAATGCATACCAAGATATGAACACAGTCAAACTTCTATAAGCCCGACCAATTGTGGGTTCAATTATCCTTGTGGGTATTTTATAGTCGTATTTGTGAACTTGTAAAATACCCCATTTGTTATTAAATAGATACCTTAAAACTATAGTAAAATCGAAGTATCCAGTAGATTAGAAAGATATCCTTGCAGCAATAAGAAAAAAAGTAATACCAAATCTAACAACACCTGAACCTCCATTTCTAAAAATCTTTGCATACTGTTTGGTGGTCCTCTAATTCGCAAGTGTATACGTTTTTTCTAATAAAAACATATGTTTCACTTGTAAACATAATATTTATAAACATTTGTCAGATTAAACTTAATTAAACTAGATTTAATTGAACTAATTAATTAATTCTGTAACTTTATAACGAATTCAAAGTACAATAATGTCAAAGTCAAAGCGTACGTATACTATAAAACTGGAACCACTTTTTTATTACAAATAATTCGAGAAACAAAACTTGTTTGCGTTCCATAAATAATCTTTAAAAGAAACTTGAATTTTTATGAGACGGATAGTGGTTGGAATTATGGAAGTTCGACTGTATATGAATAGTTTCCATGTCTGCAAGAGGCCCGCATATGGAGCTAAGCCCCCCCCTCTTTCCCACTCTCCGTCAATTACCATTTCAAGTCAGAGCCAGACATTGTTTAAAGTTTAAAATAAAAATTAAATAAAATGGAACCCATACAAAGGCGCGTGATAGTGGTTAGGGGGGGGCGGAATGATGGTGGTGGGAAACGTCGTGGTTTTACACACATGAGGAAATATACGGAATACGGAGCAAGAAAAAAAGACTTTATAACAAACGAAATGCTTATTACTTATGAGAAGAGGGTGAGATGGGGAGGTGGTGGGTAGTGCGTAAGAGTCGAGCGGAAAAGCAGGCAGAAAAGTCAAGAAACTCGAGATTTCTGTTTCTGCACAAAGACAAGACTAGGAGACTAGAGAGAGAGAAGATTTTGTAGAGCCGAAGTCGAAGTCGAAGCTCCAAACGAACCGAAGCGAACCCCAACACGAACCTCTTACTCAAAACGAATCCCAACGAACCCGAAAACGAACCGAACTGAACTGAACTGAACGACTCTACTCTACAACTATTCAAGAAGTCGCGTCGAGAAAAGCAAATACACACTACTTACACTTACTATCCCATATATCCCAGAGAAAGACATGTGTGTTGGTTGGTTGCTTGCTTTTGCTTGTTGGTTTACCTCCATTCACACTGTGAGACTTAAAACTTTGTTATTTTTTTTTTATGATTATTTTAGCTATTGTACAGTTCCACAGAAAATTTATACACCGCACACGAACGACCAAGTTACAAGGGGTCGTTGGGCGGTGGGCGGTAGGAGGTAGGAGGTGGGTTTTAACGATACATACAGACATACCATACAGAATTTAATATTTGTGAGCATATTTACCGACGGAATGGCTATGGAATGAAATACATAGAATAGAAGCACAAGAACGAATGAACGCTGAGAAGACACAGAAGAAGCACATCTAGAAGAATTGAAGACACAGCGAGCGATGACAAAGTAAACTTTTGTATCGGTATTTGTACCGTGTGTGCGCAAGTACTAGATAAATTCTAAATGCTGTCGTTGACTTAGAAAGTATTCCAAATAACAAAAGAAGCACAAGAAACGGGCAATTCTTCTGTCAGCTTACCAGCATTCTTTTCTCTCTTTCTTCAAGTCACACAGATCAAGAACTCGAAGCAGTGGAGAAAATGTGCAAGAAAACCTTCCATGGCCTTGCATAACAAATTGCTCTGTTCATAATTGATTTGAGCCTTCTTGCATGCAAGAGTTTTGGGGGACAAAAAGAACGATAAAGAGAGCGAAAGAGGGCGGGAATGTGAGCTAGTGAGCTAAGAAAGCGGAAGGAAGGGGGGTGCAAGTCGAAGAGATTACACTGATTATGCAATGCCCCCAAAAGAATATCATTAACTCTCGTATCTACAGCTCTCACAGACATGTGTATAAACATGCATGGGCAACTACAGTGGTTGCTGCCAAGTTGCATCTTAAAGATACGCGACCTATAAAAACCAACAATTTCAATTGAATATGATCATCGAAAATTAGTAAACATTCCTATAAAAGCGATAGTGCTTGTTTACACTAACTCGTTTTCTGACTTTACAAGTGGAAATTTGTTGATGAAACTCACACCATTAATAAATAATGATATACTGATTGCAAGGCCCGATTTCCAGATGTGTTTATTTATTGTTTTTATACCAGGCACCTTTGGAGTATAAGGTTACATTGTATTAGGACAAAAGTATGATGCAGGGAGAAGATCCTGTTCACGTAACTTTATATTCTTAATCAGGCTGGATTAAGAATCTGTAAATATTAGATCTATCCTACCCACAGTCTTCCATGAAACAAATCACAGTGGTATAGATCTTTTTAATCTTTGCTAAGACCTCTTCATAACTACATCTATTTAGTGATTTTAAAAAAGTGTTATCATATTTAAAATCACACTCATAAATTGAATGCTAACATGTTAATGTATGTATATTATCTTCTCACACGAAGAACTTAAAAAACAATCAGAAGGTCAAATATTCAGGTTATACTACTTAGCGAGCGATCACTGTGCTGCATATTGAGACCTCATATGAACGGTGGTCGGTGGTAAAGAGGGTGGGAGATTGAGGTGAGGTGAGGTTGGTAATTACAAACTCACGACAATGTGCTACGTGAACAATAATTTTACGTGTACTTGCAATAACAATAGCTCCGGAAGAAGACACACACACGAGTGATTACAGTGGCCTGTGTCTGTGTGAGGAAATGTACACTCACAAGCATCCGTAAGTTCAACTATAATAATAATATAAAAAGAGAAGATTGGAAAGATGTGTGGAATGTGTTTGTCGATTGTTTGTTTTGTTTCTTTCTTTGCAGTCAGTAGACGAGATATTAATTTCGATAGTCGCTCGATATCGATAGCTAAGCCCATATCAGGTTTATCTGATTATGTAAACAATTTTTCCAACTATATGCCCCGATATTATATGCATACATAGGAAGAAATAAAGCCTAGATAAACGCTGATGTTTTTGTTTCGCAGAAATACCCGAATAAATATTGCAATTAAAATTTCTATAGAACTCAAAAGAAAGCAACAAAAAATTGTAGAAACAGACAAAAGACTAAGACCAGAGGAATGCGTACAGAGAAAAGCTTAAAGAAAACAAATAAAAGCGCTCTGATAATGAAGATTGCGGCAATGATGATGACGGAGTGAGGATAGTAAGTCAAAAAAAAAAAAAAAGATACGAGGGAGCCGTAAGCCCAGTCAACCGACCGCTTCCACAAAAGGAGATGCGTGTGGGCGGGTGGGAGTGCCGAAAGGAAAAGAAACAGCTCGAGAAGACAGCCGGAGAAGAACAGGAACCAAACCTGGGAGAGAGGGGGAAAAGTCAGGCCAAAAAACTAGATGAAAAACTTGGAAATGGCCAGAGATAAGCAGAAGTTGAGAGGAATGAACAGAGAACTGAGAACCAAGAACCGAAGAACGCCGATGCGAAAGAACTACGAACCCAGAAACGAGAAGAAACCAGCCACAAGAAAGAAGCAGGCGCGCTCAATAGACAAGTTTCGTATTCAGCAACTTGCCCATAAAAGCATCCAAGATGCAGCGCCCTCTCTCCACATCTTCCCATTTCTGTTGCAAAAAATACAGATGTGAACAAAATACTAGTAGCTCAAATATTAACTCTATAAGTTATACAACTTTATAAGCTATATAACTATGCATTTATGAATCGAATTAGTTTGCTCCATCTTAATGAACTATAATAACTATATATTATATAGTATCGTATAGTTCTAAAAGGCCCCAAGACCCTTTATTAGTACCTTTTAATATAAAAACTGGCAATAAATCTCCCTTACCTTCTCATTATCCACATACTAGTGATGCCTAGGGTATAGCCCCTAGATGTGGGTAACAATTCTTGGGAAGTTAATGAATATTTTTATTTGACACTTCTGTAAGAATTTAAATTTATAAATTCAGCAAATTGGATCGACAATGAGACCAGGGTTACTATTATTTTGACCTCATTTGTAAATCCCAAGGGGAAATCCTCCAACCGCAAGAGCTCGCTTGATTGATACCCTGTAGTTTGGTGGGGGGAGGGAGGGGTTTAAGGTGGACGGGGGGGAAATCGTTTGGTGCGGTTTGGTCGTCGTCGTCGGAAAAACCACAAAAAGAGAAAGAAAAAGAACCAAAAGAAACTGTGCAGCATAGAAAAGTTTACAGCTTGAAAAATATTTTTATGGCCTTACATTTTGTGCTTGACTTTTGAGTGCGAGAGAGGGAGAGGGCGTATCAAGTACAAAGGAGATAGCTAGAGCACGTGCAATAAATGCAATTACCACATTCAAGTAAGCATTTGTATGTGTTTGTGTGCGAGTTTATGGGTTCAAGTTGTACATTTTCTCTAGACTTTTATAGACGCTTCTGATATAAGGGGTATCAAGGGTAGATTGATTGTTACTTTGAAAGGTAAAAAATTTAGACAACTAAATCAGTAGATCTTGAATCTTGTAACTCACAAGGCTTTTATAAATCTTGCAATTGCAAAATTACATGTTTCTTAATAGATACCAAGGTATAAGTATGCTGTAGTCTTAGTTTTTGTTAGCTCTTAACACTAATTCCATTGCAAGGTACAAAAAAACTACCGGTACAACCTCAGCTAAAACCTGAGAATTCTTTCAAATTTTCCGCATCCGTAGAAGGGCGAATCTTTTCAAATCTCTAAGAGCCCCTTTTTTTTGGGGGGTAACGCATAGTCGAGTTCTAGAACAGTGCCCAACACTACTTTGCTTATTTTATGCGTTCACCAAACTTGAGAAGCAAAAACAAACAAAGGAACAACTTGGAGCTTAAACGACATTTGGCTTTGCACTGTCTTTGCACTGTCTTTGCATTGACTTTGTCTTTAGCTTAGTTTTTGGTTTTGCTTTTTGTCTTTTGACTTGACTGCATTTGTTACTGTTGCTTTTGCTGTTACTGCACTTACATTTGTCGTACATTTTTTATTTAAACATACCTACATATTTTTTTATTCATATGCATTTTTATTTGCGTGTGAGTTGTCTATGATTGTCTAAGTGTGTCTGGGTGTGTGTGTGTGTGTGTGTGTGTTTGCCTCGGATCAAATTTGTTGAATTGTTTATTTAGTGCGCTGCTACATTGTTGTTGCTATTGCTGTAGCTGTTTATTGCTATAGCCGTGTGTGTTGCCTTGTTGTTTTTTCCACCGTGTGTTTTTCTCTCTTTTTTATTATATTTTTTTTCGTTATTGTTATTATCGTTAGTTGGCTGCAGCAGTTGCATTCGCTCTCATCGTCTTTGGTTTTTTTTTATTTCCACCTTTTGTCGTCTCTTTCGTTTTTGGTATTTGTAAATTACATAAATTGTCTTGGACTATAAATTACGGGAAGATTATTATGGATTGTTGGCTGTGTGTCTTGTCTGCTTGTCTTGGTAACGAAACGAAACGATACGAATAAAAAAACCGCACTGAAAAGTCACTTCTCCGCTTCGACTTCGTTTTTTATGCTTTTATAGAGATCTGCATTTAATGATACTCGAGTAGTTACATATGCATATCGGTAACTCTTTGTTTTTTTTTCTTAAGTGTACCTGTGTGTGTGCTACCACATACAGTTGTGTTCCCAGTAATAGTTATATTATTTATATTTTTCAAAATGATAACAAAATTGGTTTAAAACTTATACAAAACTAATAAAAAATTTTTAGGATATAGAATTTTACAATTTTGTTATATTTTAACCAATTGTTTAGAAAAACCATTTATACTTCTTCAAAATAATATTCTATGTTTAGTAAAAATAAAAAGATATTTGAATAGTTTTCCTTTTTTATTACTAACTTAACTTTAAATTAAATATAAAAGAAAACATAATAATATGACTTTAAAAATAGGTTTTTAGAAATTTTGCAATGCCCACAACTAATAATTTGACTACAGGTGTAAATAGGTGTGTGTTGCCCTATTGTTGTTGCTGTTTTCATTTGAGCTCTGGTTATTGTTGTTGTTTCTGAGTCACAGAGAAGCGGGCTTGGAAATTGGAAATGGGATATGGTAATGGTAATGTTAACAAATATGTGCAGCTCCACTCGTCTAGTGGGTTTTTGTCTTCTTTTTCTGCAAATACCAGCTAGTCAGCTATAGAAAAAAAGGGAAGGGCCAAGCCAAAGCAAAGGATCACAAAAGTGGTGATCACTTGCATAAAACAGGAATATTTTACCTTTTTTTATGGCAGAATATGAGGTTAATGCGTTTTCCTGTTAACTACAAAAATAATCAATCGCGTTTGTTGAACATTTCAATCTTTGAATTGGATTTATTAGGGTATTTAATATACTACAAGCTTATTATAATTATGATAAAACCTCTATTACAATTAATGCATAATAACTAATGAAAAGCATTTAATTAGTAATCATATAAAGACAACTGGTTGAATGGAGCATTAGCTTTCTGAACACATTTTTTTTGTTTACAATAAAAAAATATTGCATGTTTTAATTATACTACACAAATATGTACATTGTAACTTTATAACTTTGTGCAGACTGTGCATTGCAGAGAATAATTAATTTTCAGTTTACCAAGAAATCTGGTGTGCTGTTTAAAAAAAACATTATATCCACCAAGTGGCCAAGTTCCAGTAAATATTTTTATTTGGTAAATTATTGAAATTAATATTACCTAAAACGTCCACATATTTGGAATGCATTAAAAATGTTATTTGTTAAATAGAATTAAGAAACAAATTGGAATATTAATTAGTGAAATGGTTAATTAACCAACACGGGTTAGTTGTTCTTATTCCGTAAGATCTATTAACTTTTTGGGTGCAAAAAAAAACGAAACTGATGGAAAAAACATTAGACGGCAATCTTGACGGGGAGATGTAATTAATTTTTACAACGTTGAGATCTTTTTGAGAGCTCTACATCTAAATGTTGCGTAACAGCCGAGATTCCAATCAGAAATTGTTGAACATCAAAGTAAAAACTTATCGCAACTGTCACAGAGTAACGGTTATGCATGCGTATGTGTTTCATTTTTTTAGTTCGATTTTTTAGTGATCGACTCGACGAACATGCGGTGTAGAAATTTCCGCTAACGAAAACAACAACAAAAATTTCACTTAATTCAATTTATGTACAATGCAAACGCACACATACATATGTGAGGCCACTTACAGATAGAAAACATACAGACATAGTCGCCGCTTTAACCTGACTTGTTGTTTTTCTCTATTTTATCAAGCGGGTGATCAAATACGAAGAACAATAAACACGAACTCACACATTCTTAGTTTCTTAAACATTTTCTTAGGCATATTTAAAAAAAAGCCTAATCTTCAGACACACAGATACAGATACTTACACAGACAGCAGACATACACACAAATACAAGTTAACGCACTGATTTAACGTAACTATTTTAATAAGAACTAGCAGAGAGCGCAACAGAGAGGGCCAAGAAAAATGAGAGAAAATGAGAGAGCGGCGCAAAAGAAGAGCGAAAAAGGAGCGTGCGAGCGGGACAGGGACACAAAGCAATAATAACAATAATAAATTGAAGAGTTAAACTAATAATGAAAATTTGTGTGTGCATGTGTGTTTGCCTCTGATTGTATGTAGTATGTATGGCTATCTCACTCTTGCGAGTATAGTAATAATAAAGTCAAGTAAAATCGTCGTCGCACATACCTTTATTTAGTCGAAATTGCTATGTATTTATCTTGCTTCTTCTTCTCCTTTGAGGTTGACTTCGCTGCTTTGCTATGCTGTGTTGTTGTTGTTATTTTTGTTGTTGTTGATACTTTTGTTATTTGCAGTTGTTTTTGTTATTTTTTTCTCTTATAAGTTTTTCACACACAACAGAATTAAAATGGAATGTGAATGTGTAAAATTGTATTTATTACTGCTTTTTTGAAGTAGTTGCCTTGAGTGTCTGCGTGTGTGTGTGTGAATAGTAAATTATGTTATGTGCGCTTTAGTGCTTATATAAATTTTTATACCGCTGCTCTGATTTGATTCGTTCTTGCTTTTCTTTGCTTTGCGCTTGGCTTTTCTTCTTGCCTTTCTTTTCGCAGCACATTCCAATTGAAGGAAAACCGAGAGAACAAGAACCAAAAACAAACAAACAAAAAGAGGTGGGTGAAGAGGGGGGCAAAGAGGAGACGCGACGATACACAGTTATAAAATGTATGTTCATATATGTGTGTGACTGTGTATGTAACACTGGCGAATGACAATCGAAAGGTAAACACAATTAAGAATGCGCCTATTGTTATTGTTGCAGTTGTCGTCGTCGTTGTTGTTGTTGCGATTATTATTGTTATTTGACTTTTGTAGAGCGGCAAAGGTAAACTACGCTACCTGCCAACTGGCGCCGCATCACACAAGCACACACGTCCGTTCACGTCGAGAACCAAAACAAAAATGCGGTGCAACATGGCGTATGCTGTCATTCCACCAGCCATTCACCTAACTATTGGAGATGCGCGCGTGAGCCAACACTTTATTTGACATTAGTTACATTAACATTATGTTGTAATAAAGATAACTCGACAACCAAGTATTTATATTTCCAAATATAACTGTTTTTATTACAGGAAATGATTAAAGAGGGTCTATTATTTTTTCATTGTCATGGAAAATGACGTTCGTGTTTACATGTATTTATTTCGCGCACGCGCGCATTTCTGTTCATATCGAATTGGTCTCGAACTTGCAACTGCAACATGTTTGATGTGACGTCAAAAGGCTTGAGGTTGCTTGAGCTCTAAACCATAATTTCGCTCAAAGAAGGACACATTTGTAATGCCAATTATGGAAATAAAATAAAATAACAGCATCGTGTATAATTTTAAAATGTATCAAAATACCACAGACAAACCTATGTAAACTTATAATTTATGTTTTTATTTATTATTCTTCTCATGCTGTATGGACAAAATACAACTTACATATATTTAACGTGCTTTTCAAAATAAATAGCTTATAACTAAAGTTATAATAAATGTTGATGTTATGATTATGATTTTCTATTCAACATAATGAAATCATTTCCTTTAGCTATTCAATTCTGAACTTAAAATAGTAAATTAAAAATAACTAACCCTTTTCGGAAGGAAACCAATTTATTTTTAATTTCACATATGTAATATCTTAGATAAAAGCAGTAAAAGTAATGTTTTGATTATGTTTCCTATCAAATTTAAATAGTTAATTTTTTTAAACTTTTAGACTATAAACTTAAAGTTGTTTACCTTTCGCCTTGCTAAAGTTCACAATTTTATTTTTGAACTTAAAAAAAGGAAATATTGAATAAAAACCGTTACGCTGCACTAAATGCACTAAAATATACCTAAAAATACCATAAATTACCCATTCTTATAAATAGTAATAGCTTAAAGGCTGGTTACCTTTTAACCGAACATGGCTAAATCAAATATAATAAAACACTATTATTGAATATTAGCACTAACCATACATGTTGAATGTTTAATGGTTAGTGATATTAGTGAATTACCAAACAAAGTGTTGGTAGAGCTGTAAAACGGCGCCACAACCAGTGTTGGGCAATAGTGGCGGTTTCCCGAGAGCTTTCCGTCGCAAAAGCTATTTCACAAGCAGACCATCTGCAGCTTTTTTCCATATTGATTAGTTATGTCGCTTTTGTTGTTTACTCGCCACATTTTTTTTGGCCAGCCAGTCAATTGTGCTTAGCGGTGCGCGGGAAATCGACCGCAGGATACACAATCGCAGGACACGCAGTGCAGCAACTGGGAAGGAAATCGGAGTCAAACCCCAAACAGGATCCCAAAGTCGAGTCGTCGCGAGCGAGCGAGCGAGCGCACAAAATCCCCCGATGTCCGCGGGTGTGGGTGGCGGAGGGAGCATTACCACCGAGCATCACAGTCGCCTCTACTTCCTCAACTCGCCAACGGCGCCGCTCACCGCCCGCGATCCGTTCTTCATCAAGCCGGAGTATCTCAGCTATGAGAGTCCCATGCATCATGCCCTCTATCCGGGCAACCGTGGCCTCATAGAGTACAATAACTATACGAGTTCGGCGGCCGCAGCGGCAGCCGTTGCCTCCCCGGTAGCCAGCTCCGTTTCGGTTTCCGGTTCGGGATCGGCATCGGCATCGGGATCGGGATCGGGATCCGGTTCCTCTGGTGGAGGTGTCCCGGCCAGTGGCTCTGCAGCAACCGCAGCGAATAGCGGCACGGCAGCAGTACTCAGCTTGGAGAGCCAGAACTTTGCCCAGCAAGGCAATCCCCACCAGCAACAGCAACAGCAGCAGCAGCAACAAGGGAATCCCCACCAGGAGGTCCTACAGCAGCAGCAGCAACAGCAGCAGCAGCATCCCCTGCATCATCATTTATCCGCTGGCATTGTCGTCGAGGCCGGTGTCGTACTTGGTGGCGTACCTGGCCTGGCCAATCTCGGCGTGCCGCATCTCAGCAGCCAGCAGCAGTCGGCCAACACACAGCAGGGACAATCCTCGCGAGCACAAAAGGCCGCGCGCCGCAGGAGCAACGAGTCCATTGAGGCCAGGGAACGGCGACTGGAGAGGAACGCGGCCCGAATGCGGGATAAACGGTCCAAGGAATCGGAGGCGGAGTATCGGGTGCGTTTGGCCAAGAATGCGGAGGCGAATCGAGTGCGTCGGCAGAACGAAACGGAAGTACAAAGAACCCTAAGACTGATGAAGAACGCAGCGCGGCAGCGACTGCGTCGCGCCTCGGAAACCGTCGATGAGCGAAAGAAGCGGCTGGCCAAGGCCGCCGAACGGATGCGAGTGGCCCGGGCCAGTGCGCCCAAGGTCATCAAGCCGCCGCTGGCCGACAGGCTCAAAGGTTACTAAGCAAGGGATCTTCTAGTGTCCGGAACATAACCATTTGGAGCTGGTTCTCCAGCAATGCGAACAGCGGCGGCGGAGCAGTCAGGAACACAACCTTGTTTTTGCCCCGCTGAACAAAGCTGGCCAGGATCGGCAGAGGAACATACACACATCTATAAATAATATATATTGTATACAGCCTAAAAACAGTCAAAAAGCAGAAGGATTACGTGACGTAAGAACAGATGAATGGGCAGCAGGCACTCTAGGATTAAAGCCAGGCAATTTTTTTTTTAAGTTAAAATTTAACAAGATGGAAGTAATGTAACGTAAACGTAAAGTAAAGTATTTTTATAATGCATGCATTATATTCGTACGATATATATATATATATATATATATATATATATAAATATATACGTATAGTTATGTATACACGCAGGACACACACATGTACACCTAGCATAGTCATAGCACACATATATAGAGCCCCCCAAAAATGGCAGTAATACCCCCACTACCCGGGAAAACGGAAAAGGAAGCTTACAACGCCAGGGTGCCTCACTGTAAATAAAAACGGAGGGAAAACGGAGGTACACTTCCAGTCCCAAACAACAACAACAACAAATTCGCAAATAAAAATAATTCCAAACGAGGCAACAAGTGCCTTCCCAGCAAATCCTCGGGCGAAACTACACACTTGCATGCATGCAATGTATTCAAAAATCGTATTTTTCCAAAACATCTGAGGCACCCTGGCGCCAATCAACCCCCATATGTGTGTGTAGTTGGTTAAAGCATGTAACCCAAAACGGACAACGCCAGTCACATAAGGATATACACACACTCGACAGTCCCACATTCATATATATATATATACATATATATAAATACATATATTTGGAGCCATGTATGCATACACACATGATCCGTTGCCAGGCACATAACGCAATATTTGTTATAGCACGCAATCCTTCTTCCTCCCACCACCTACTTTCCCAAATCCTTCTTTTCCCCCTCCCCCTTACCCCTTCCCCCTTTCCCACCCACGCCCATGTCCTTAGACGGATTCAAGACACTTCAGCTCGGGCCCACATGATAACTAAATATATTATTCTAATTATAATTAATTAAAACGTAACCATTAAGTTCTAGTCGAAATTTCAAATTGTTTTTTTTCCTGTCTAAATACGTTTATCAATTGTTTTGCCTTAAGACTTAAGATTGAGATACATTTTTGTGTATTGTAATATTCATGTACACTAACAATAACAACACACAACAACAACAAAACAAACACACAACACCAAGAAAACGAAAACATAAAAAAAAACATAACAAGCAAAAAAACGAGAATAACAAAATGAATATACTTGAATAAAGTTGCATTCACAATTTTTAAATGTTGAGTTCTTAAAATGGGCGAAAGTATATTTGTAGGAACCAGCTGGGACAAAAAAAAAACAAAATGGTCCCAGGAATAATATTGACGACCTATACAAAAAACATTGTTATACCCTGAAAATGATTTCTACACCAAAAATATGTTTTTGTAGTTTAAAAAGTCCGCGAAAGTCGAGATTTTTATGGTTCAAAAAGCTTAGTATGGTCGCATGGAAAATACTGTCAACAAAATAGAAAGAAGCTTAGAAATTGTTGAATTTAATTGGTATTTTTAAGTGGGGATATAATGGTTACACAGCAGAGGTATTTTTGGCGCGACAGTTGGATATACCAAATTTTGTAAGGTGCCGCAGATCAATTGACTATATGGTATAGCTGCTAATCTTGCTAATGTTTTATTGAAATTATGTTTTGAATTGGAAAAAGTATTTATTTTGGTAAGTTTATAACTTTCTGCCACTTTTGCAACCAACATTTTCAAAAATAGTCGATAATTTCAACAGTCGATATCTTTGCGGCACTAAATGCATTCGATATATCGATAGTATTCAATAAACTATGTTCTTGTTCCAGCTCTAACATATACATACACACATGTACGTACGTCTTGTGGTTATTTTTTAATGTGTGTTTGTTGCGCGTTATTTTATTTTTTGCCGGATTTTAGCGCCGTTTTTTGCGTTCTCCGTTCTCGTTTGCGAATGGAGTGTGAAGCAAACACGCCGATTAACCAGCGAGTGTTTAAGACTTGATATTTCGCGAAGTTTCTGCCCCAAAATCAAAACAATGCAAAAATTAAACTGGCCGATTGAGGCGATGCCGACAATACGTTAAAACGGCGATCAAACTGAAGTGGTTATGGTGTTTTGGCCCACTAATTAGCATCACAAGAGCAGCCAACTGCACAATGCTTAAATGGCCCCAAAAAATAGAGGGTTAAGACTTGTGCGAAAAGCAAAATAAGGAGCGGAAAAAAACTCGCACACACGTACATACGTTGTGTGAGTGTGCGTGTATGTGAGCTACGTGCTGCATGGGTGTGTGTGTATAATCATGTGAAAAATCGATTGGCAGCGCAGTAGCAGCGCGGCGGCGGCGCCAATTGTCACTAACTCAAATGAAGAAGCACGCTTTTTAAAAACCTAACGAAATCGCAAAAGAAACCCCAAAAGAAGTAAGAACAACGCAAAGAAAAAAAGAAAAATAATGATAGATGACTACAATAGCAGTTAGCGAAGCGATCGCCGCAGAACGAGAGAGAGGGGGAGAGCGAGAGTGACGGCGCCAGCACACACATATTCTTTATATAACTATTGGGGAAAAAGCAAAACAAACGCAAAGAGGAAACGCCAAGGAGAGTGAGAGAGAGAGAGAGAGCGAGCGAGCGCGCGGCCCCTAGATGTTATCGAGTCTATCGAAAGGACTGCTGCGCTCATCCTTTCGATAACTAATTGATCCTCACACTTCCCAAGCCCGATAGACACGACAATTTCGATTGTTGTTCGCCCCCCGGCTTTTTGACCAAGAATGGAACCAGATCCCAATGGGATAAAAATAGAGCCCTCACTTGATCAGCAGCAGTACGCCACCCATGTGCTGGCCATCAATGGCTCCAATACCCGCCTGCTCATCGAGCACCCCTCAGCTTTGTTGGTACCTTTGTCCTCGCATCACCAGTTGCAATTGCAGCAGCAGCAACACCAGCAGCAGCAGCATCAACAGCAGCAGCAGCATCAACAGCAGCAGCAGCAACAACAGCAGTTCCAGCAGCAGCAGCAGCAGCAACATCTTCACCAGCAGCAACAGGATCAACTGCAGTTCCAGCAACAGCACCTTCAGCTTTATGCCCACACCCCACTAAAACAGCAACAGTTGCAGCAGCAGCAGCAGACGCAACAGCAGCAACAGCCACCCACTCCCTTGGGACCCACGAGCAGTGCCAGTTCCGCCTCCATCACAGGTGCCTCCGCCACTGGCCACCAGCAGAGGTGGAACGAGAGTCCCGAGGCACGCCAGCGTCGTCTGGCCAGAAATGCTGAAAGGATGCGGGAGCGCCGCCAGCGGGAGAGCGAGGACGAGTATCGGAAGCGATTGCTCCGGAATGCCGAGGCGAATCGCCAGAGGCGCCAGAACGAATCCGACATAGAGAGGGCCATGCGGCTGGTGAGGAACGCGGCCAGGCAACGGCTGCGCCGGGCCATGGAGTCGCCGGATCAGAGGGCCAAGCGTCTGGCCAAATTGGCCGAAAGGATGCGCATGTATCGGGCCAGCGAGACGAACGATCAGCGGAAGCTACGTCTGGCCGAGATGGCGGCCAGGGCGCGTCAGAGGATCGCCAATGAGTCACCGGAGGAGCGCAAGGAAAGACTGAGAAAGCTGAACGACTATGCCAAAAAGGTCAGAGAAAAGAAGAAGATATTGAAGCATGTTGTGGTGCACGGTGGTTCGTCGTCGGTGGTCGTCTCAACGCCGACATCCTCCTCGTCGTCAACGGACCAGCAGCACCACCACCAGCAACAACAACAGCAGCAACAGCAGCAACAACAGCAGCAGCAGCAGCAACAACAGCAGCAGCAGCAGGTGCTCGCTGTTGCAGCAGCCGCAGCAGCGGCGGCAGCCAATTGTACTAACGAACACACTATCAATCTAAACCAGGCGGCCACCACAGCGACGACGACGACGACAACAGCAACGGATGAGGCAGGAGGCACACAAACCCCACAGCCCACGGAGGACCAGCAGCAGCAGCAGCAGCAGCAGCATCATCTAGTGACAGCAGCCGCCTATCAGCAGCATCAGGCCTTAACTGGAGTGGAGTACATGGGACAGGGCATGTTTCTGGCTCCCGGCTCGCTGCGTGCACCCATGCAGCTGAAGCAGGAGCCACAGACAACACAGCAGCAGCAGCAGCAGATTACCCAGCAGCAGCTGCAGCAGCAGCAGCAGCAGCAACACCAGCGATACACCATCACCGGGCAGCAGCAGCAACAGGTCACGGCTGCCCTGCTCGAGGGCACCGAACCGGGCAGCATCTTTGTGCAGCAGATCTACGGCGATGACGGTGGCAAGGGCACCACCACCAAGTTGCTCCAAGCACATGTGCCCCACTTCAGCATCGCCGGTGGTCAACTAGAGCTTTACCCGCACCCGCACAAATATGCCGCCAAGAAGCAGGAACTTCAGGTGCGTATGCAACAGCCATCACAAGGAATGGGTAAAGGGGGCGGTTAGCAGCCCAAAACACACACACACACACACACACCCCAACGCAGGCAAGGTTATCCAACCAATATATTTTTGAATTAATTATATTCAGAAAACATGAAGAGAAAATACTTTATTAGCTACTTCTTCTGTGGTAGAATGCATATCAGTTGATTCGATTAATTGCAAATTTTGCTAATTTTCCTTTTAAGCTATTAAAAAAAATGTAAAATTAAAATTTGAAATCAGATAAAAGTTTTTAGCACTTTTGCAAGTATTTTAAAACTTTTAATATTGAATTATTTATCTTGCAGTTGGAAGAGTCAACTGCCTTAAAAAAAAAAAAAAAACAAAAAACCGAATAAGTAGCACTTGAAAATATAGAATTTTCAATGGAAATGGGAAGAAAAAACTGCTGATGGACATTTATTTGTTTGTTTCCTAACTGGGAAGCCCCAGTTTTGTTTAATTTTATCGTTGTTGCCTGCTTGTTTTATTTTTTGGTATTTTGGAACGTGGTATAAATGAAACATTTAGAGTGTAGAAAAATGTAGCAATGTAAATGATAAAAGCGAAGAAAACATATTAATATAAGTAGTTTTAATTCGCAATAATTAATAATAATCTTGTGCCTGTGTGTTTGTGTGTGTGTGTGTGTGGGTGTGTCGTAGTTCTATCTCTTTTACTCTATCGCACTCGTTTCTTTTCGAAAACTGATCTTTAAACTCATTATGCAGCACAGAAATGAATTTAGAATCTTCTGTTGACTTATTTCTCTGGTGTTTTAAAATAGTTTTGATCCAACTTTGTTTTATATGATTGAAATTAAGGTTTAGTAATCTTTTTTCTAACTTTTGATTGGTCTTCAAAAGACAAATCTAAATTAGCCAGTCTTTTGCTTGCAAAACTAAAATTAACTTGTTCTTAAATATTTATTAAAATAATCGAATAATGATGAATTTTTAATTAAAATGCTCCTTAAAACAAACGTTAAAATTTTGAAAAAAAAAATATATTAGCAATGGCAATACCAAAAAAACAATTTATATTCATATTCAATTAATACCAAATTGAAAATTAAAGGACTTAAATGTCCAATAATAATTGATTTATGAATTACGAATTGTAATTTAAAATGCTATTTTAATACGATCGTATACCAACCGTTTAAATTTTGAAAAACAAAGTCAAATTATGAGCATATCAATCCGTATCTGAAAATCAAACAAAACAAAAAATAAAAAAATTCCTTCATTTCTTCATTTAAAGAAATGCATCCATAACCAAACCAAACTAAACCAAACCCAACGAAACCAAACGAAACCAAAGCAACTCACCCACCCGTTGGCTTTCCACTCCTCTCCCCCTTTTGCAGTCGGACAGCGATGCTCCGGGATCGGCGGGCGGCAACGATAACAGCGGGTCTGTTAGCCTGGGCCACAACGAGACCAAGGTGATCGTGACGACCGCCAGCGGCGAGCAGAAGCTGCTCAAGGCGACGCCGGGTCAGGCCCAGCAGCTGTACAACCAATTCCCCTACCTGGCCACCTTTCCCAGCACCACGAGCAGCGGCGGCGGCGGCGGCAGCGGCAGCGGCGCCACCAATGTGGGCCAGGTGGGCGTGGTGACGGCGGGGACGACAACGGGTGCGGGTGGCACCACCACCACCACCACCGCCTACTATCCGATGTACCACAATGGCTTCCAGATCGGCATCGGACCCAATCCGGTGCCGCCTCCATTCACACCGGTTCACTTTGCTAACGCAAGTGGCGGCAATAGTCCCACCGGCGGCGGCCAGTACAACATCCTGGCCACAAATCCCACGCTCACGGTTACCGGATTGGGACAGCAGCAGCAGCAGCAACAGCAGCAGCAGCAGCAACAGCAACAGTCAGCAGCGCAGCCACACATTGTGACCACCCCTGTGGGGCGGGGCAGGCCGCGAAAGAATCTGCTGTCCAGCGAGGAGCAGCTGAAGGTCAACAGTCTGCTGGAACAGGAGCTCAATCAGATGCTGGCCGCACCGCAGCTGGCCAGCAGTACACCGCGACGCGGCCGTCCACTGTCGCAGGCATCGCAGCAGCATCACCAGCAGCTCAGCCAGATTCATGTACATTCCACGGCCGATGGTGATAGTCGAACGCCGGTGGCGACAACGCCGCGTCGCAGCGGTGCGAACAAATACGAAACGGAGGAGGAGAAGCGGCTGCGGCTGGACAAGATGGCCGCCCATCAGCGGGCGGTGCGGGCCAACGAGACGCCCGAGCAGCGGGCCACGCGCCTCCAGAAGCTGAGCGAACGGGCGCGTCTGAAGCGGGCCCAAATCCGGGCCACCGAGAACACGGACGAGCGCAAGGAGCGGCTGTCCAAGCAGGCGGAGTATGCGCGAATGCGACGCATGCGCAGCCATACGCCGCGCAGCAGCAGTGCCACCAGCACCGAGTTTCGCACCAAAACCGAGGAGGAGGACGACGATGAGGACGAGGACACCAGCGCCGAGCAGCAGCTGTACGAGAGTGAAGCGGTTTCGGTCACCGGCACGGGCAGCGATGGCGGCTTTGTGACCGTGGTCAAGGCCGACGAGGAGGACTCGCCATTGGACGGAGGCGGCGGCGGTGGCGGCGGTGGCGGTGGCATCGGCGATGGCTCCAATGATCACGAACAACTGCCGCCGTTGCAGCTGCAGCAGCACGAACTGCAACAGATTGCCGGCAGCCTGCAACAGCAGCAGCAGCAGCAACAGCTGGTACAGCATTCGCATCACGAGGCGATTGTGTTGAACCAACAGCACCGCCTGGTCACCATCAGTCAGCACCAACAGCAGCAGCTCCACCAGCCGCAGCAGCAACAGCAGCAGCAGCAGCAATCACATCCCGGCTTCAGCAAATTGCAGGTGGTCAAGGATTACGGTAGTGCAGCGGGCGGCGGAGGAGCTCCGGGTTCGGGCGGCGGCAATGGAAGCGGAGCACCCGAGAACAATGACATGCTAAAGATACTCGAGCCAATCATCGTGATGAAGACCAAATGAGGATCGCGGAGGCGTCACAGTCGCAACACCAATCGCTAGAGGGGATGTGTGGTTAGCCAGGCCCACGCTATCCCGCCATTAAAACAACCATTAAAACCAAGAGCATCAGGCGTTGGACGCACAAAAGGATGAGAGATCTGCGAAGAGAGTAGTAGGGATTGTCTATAGTTATCAATAAGAGTTTTTTTTAAATATGTTTTTTTTTTTTAAATGTCAGTCGATGTATTTGACCGAGAGCGATATTGTAAAAAGTGAGTTAATGAGAGCAAGCGGAGATCAAGGATTAAGTGCAATAACATTAGCGGATGCCTGGCAGCCACGAAACCCCAAATGAGCAAACAAAAATTACACTGTGACGCCCCGAAAACCACTGGAAAATGAGGAAATATGCAGCTAAAGACTACGAGCGTGGGACAAGATCAACTAAACCTAATCCAGAATATGTAGCGCGTAACGAGAGCACTAAGTAGTTATATGTATTAACTATTAATTTTTTAAATTAGAAAAAAAAAGTGAAAATAACAAATAAATCTAATAAGATCGAAATGGAACGGTCGATAGAGAATGTGGGGAGAGGTTATCGCAGCCCTGGTACATGTTATCGACTATCGCCTATCGATGAGCGCGCCTCAGCCGAGTTGTAAACATGTTCACAACGCTCCACAGCGAGGATACGGAATATTCGGCGGATTCCGTTGAATGGCTGCCGGAGAATGATCCGGATGTGGGCTACTTTGCCTGCGGCACCTATCAGTTGGTCCAGGATGAGACGGAATCCACCGAGGAAGCTGCTCCCAAACGTCCACGCAAAGGTCGCGTTTATTTGTACCAATACGAGGCCACAAATTCAGCACTGGAGCGGCTGCAGTGCATCGAAACGGCGGCCATACTGGACATGAAGTGGCTGCCAGCTTGGAGCGATGATAGCAATCCCCACCTTACCACAGTCAACTCATTGGGCCAGCTGGAGGTCTATGAGTTTCAAAGGGATGACAAGAAACTGCAGCAACGCACGTGTTTCAGTTTGGAGACGGAGCCCCAGGAGGCACCGCCTTTGGCTCTGGCCCTGGATTGGCGGCGGCAGGAGGAGCAGGTCCAATTAGCCATCTCGGATTCCAATGGAGGCCTGCATCTGCTGCACTACTCGCCGCAGGGTGAGGTGATCCGAGAGCGTTCCTGGTCTGCTCACGGTTTCGAGGCCTGGACCTGTGCCTTTGATCGCTGGTCACCGCATCTCCTGTACAGCGGTGGCGACGATATGCTCCTGATGGCCCACGATTTGCGCACGGAGCAGCAAGTGTGGACCAACCGGGCCCACATGGCCGGAGTCACCTGTCTGCTAAGTCATCCGAGGCATGAAAACCATCTGCTTACGGGCAGCTACGATGAGCAGCTGCGGCTGTTCGACACCCGAGCCATGAAGCGAACTCTGGCGGAACTGGACTTGGGCGGAGGCATCTGGCGGCTCAAACCGCATCCTGTTCACCCCAATCTCATCCTGGCCGCCTGCATGTACACCAATTTTAGCCTGGTGCAACTGGGTGCCGATGATCCGGGCTTGAGTCTCCTGGGAGCCTATGAGGAGCACAAGAGCATCTGCTATGGCGCCGATTGGTCTCCCAGTTGTGGCAAGGACGATGGCGCCTTGACCATGGCCACCTGCTCCTTTTACGATCATAAGTTGTGCCTCAGTCGTGTGGAGATAAGCCAATAAATTAAGATGTCCTTTACATTACATTCTAGATGTAATTTTTTACAAATGTTTTTTTTTTTTGTGAATAAATTGTTTGAATAAACAAGAAATATAAACCAAATCAATAAAGTGTCGGCAGCATTTCCCTTTAAATGTTATTTGAAATATATATCCTGTAGGAGAATAAAAAGTAAAGGAATATTATTTCCTCCATTTTAATAATGCTAGAAAACACTTGGATAAGGATCTAAAATTACAAATAACAAGTTATGAGCACAGAATGAATTAATATTTAATAATTACAGTTATGTATTAGTTTTTAAAAGTTTTATTTTGTAATGAGTTGTTTAAATGCTACAAAAATATATATAACCCAAATCAATTTAATTATATTAAGGTTCGGCAGGATTTCTTTTTTAATGTAGTATAAAATATATGTCCTGTAAACGAGTAAATCTGGGACCACCAATAAATCAAATAAGGAGCAAAGATAGAGTTTCTCTTTCGCGTAAAGATATTTTAAAGATTTTTAATGTTTTGATTTTAACTCTTAAAAGCCATAATTAATTAATTTAAGGCTGTGTGGTCGCGTGAAGATTAATAAATACATTGAGATTTTCTGTACATAAATGTTTTTTGTTTTGTAATAAATTAAATAATAAAATAAAACAATAAACCAAGCAGAAAATTTATCAACACTGTAATTAATTAAATTTCTAAACTTATTTAAAAAAAACAAAGCATCCATCCCTGGCTGGCCGCCGGTTCAGCAGCCCTGGGCGATAAGCAGATATCGCTGATATGGCATTTCGTTTTGCCATCCCTTGAGGAAACATTCGAATTTGCAAATTAAAAGTAATTTGAAGAATTTCCGTCACTTTGTCATGGTAGTTTGGCCACTATGTAACTATGTAACACTATTTGTAATAAATTAAATAATAAAATAAAACAATAAACCAAGCAGAAAATTTATCAACACTGTAATTAATTAAATTTCTAAACTTATTTAAAAAAAACGAAGCATCCATCCCTGGCTGGCCGCCGGTTCAGCAGCCCTGGGCGATAAGCAGATATCGCTGATATGGCATTTCGTTTTGCCATCCCTTGAGGAAACATTCGAATTTGCAAATAAATAGTAATTTGAAGAATTTCCGTCACTTTGTCATGGTAGTTTGGCCACTATTGACACATAGCACTCCAATATACCCCCACTTTCAATCCCTGCAGCATCCCCAACCGAATTCCACCGACAAGATGGACGGAGCAGTTCTGGATCAGGCGCGAAAGAGCATTGAGGCGATGCACGATCTTGCCCAGACCCTGATGGTGGACTTTAAGGACGACCCCGAGGCTGCACGGCTGGCAGCTCAGACCATCAACGCGTGCATGCTGGAGCTGATCGACGATTTGGAAACGGCACAAACCGAGGAGCAGCAGCTCAGCCAGGAACTGCAGCGATTCCAGGACAAATAGATAACGAATGTGCGGAGAGCCAAGCGATTAATTTTGATTTGTTTTATAAATACATATGTAAAATATAGGTATCACACGCTTTTCCATTTGATTTTCTCAAAGTAACAAGTAGACGTAGATCCTACGCCACCACATTCTGGATCCAGTTGAGTGCTCCACGAATGCGACGCAGGCGGGCGCGTGCCAAAAAGCTACAGATGAGCAGGTACTCCACATAGGCGCGCCTTCCGCTGGCCGCCACTGGCATCAATCCGGCACCCAGTGCCGAGGGGCGACCCTCGCACATTATCTTGGTGGTCAGCGAGAGCAGCCACTGGAGGATCTGTGTGCGAATAATGCGAACAAGGCATGCCATATAGTGAGTGTTGAGTCCTTAAACAAACAATCGAAAACAAACACCCACCTCGGAACTGTTGGGCATGCCGCCCGCCTTCAGCCAATTGGAGGGGGCCCAGAGGAACAGCTGCACCACATTCGCCGCAATATCCGGACTGACCCGCTTGGACGGGTTGGGATTGAGGATGTTGTACACCAGCTGTTGCAGCAGCGGCGGGCAGGCATCGCTCATCGGTGGCAGCTGCTCCTGCCGGTAGTCGCTGTTCCTCAGCGAAAGCGTCAGCTCTCCACGTTCGCGTGCCAGCCCACCGCTGCTCGAATAGAATGGATTGTGGCTGCCAAAGATCTCGTAGGCCAATGCACCGCAGGCCCAAAGGTCCGCTTTTCCATAGTTAAGCACCGCGAACGGTCCGGGCATTGTGTTGAAGATCTCTGGCGCCATCAGTGCCGCATTGCCGCCCTTGTCCACGTCGTGCGAGACATACGGCAGCCGCAGGCCGTGCACCTTGTCCGCCAGGCAGCACCCGAAATCCGAGAGCACCAGCACCGGCGAGGTATCGTCCTGCAGCTCGATCAGTACATTGTCCGACTTGAGATCACGATGGGCCACGCCGTGACGGCTCAAATGGTTGACAGCCTCGAGCATTTGGGCCAGCAGCAGGATACGGGTGCGTGTGCTCAGCTCCTGGTTGTCCAGCAGTCCCCGCAGGCTGTGATCATAGCGTTTCATCAGCAGATACAGCGACATATTGCGGCCATAGCCCTGCGGATTGATCCTCTGCGGCTGGGCCACCGGATAAAGTAGATGGCCATCGGGAAAGTTGCGCACCTCGTCGCAAAAGAAGCCAAACATGCAGACAATATTGGGATGCGGCGGCAGTTGGACCGTTTGGTTCTGCAGCAGGCGTTCCCACTCGTCGGAGGCCTCGTTCATGCCACGCTGTCGCGCGGGCACCGTCTCCTTATACATGGCACGCAGAATGGACAAGGCGTTGCTCTGGATGTCGTAGTTGAACATCATTTTGAGGGCCAGCGGATAGCTGTCGATCTTTGAATTCGCAGGGGTGTTCTAAAGATTGGAAGGATTTAACCATTAAAAAGAAGTAAAGTGAGAGGTCATTTGGCTGGCAATTTACCACGTTTAAGGCACTGCTCCTTGGCTCCGGCTGCTGCTCCTGCTCCCGCTCCTGGGCGCCCACAAAGTCACTGGCCGCCGAGGGCTGGCTGTATTGAAAGATATTATCCACAGAGCCGCCAAAGTTGTGGACAAAACGCGACATGTTCTGCAGCGGCGACATCATCTCGTGGGCACTCCAGCTATTTGGAGCAAAGGCTGGAATTGCTGCTGGTGTTGGCACTTCTGCACCCATGGACAATGACTCCTCTGTGGCACCACCATTAAGGTCCTTCTTAAAGCCCGCTGCATAGACTACAGCTGCACAACCTTTGGCAATGGGCGGCCCTATTTCCAAGTCATCAATGCTGAACTTGCTGTCCAGCGTCTCGGAGATCTCGTCCTGGTTCCAGGCTCGCTGCAGCCGGCCAGCCGCCTCCCGAATTTCCCAACACACGCCCTCCAGTTCATCCTCCTTGCTGAGGACACCCGATCCGGAGGCCAGGCTCACACCGATCAAGGCAAAGAAGGGAGCCGAGTCGCCGAAGAAGAGTTTGCGGGTGGCCCGCTGGCGCAGATCCTCGGAGTAGGTGGTGGTCACCCGGCTGAGGATGTTGTCAATGAAGAGCTTGCGGGCATGTTGGCCCACGCGAAAGAGTCCACTGGAGGATGGGCTGCTGCTGCCATTTAGTGGCGATCCCGTTGAGGGAGTGGAAGTGCGGGGCACTACATTGACCACCGATTTGGCCGCCTGCTGGGGCGTTGTCTGGCGGGGATTAAGGTGAATGTTATATGCACTTTCTAGGCGGGAATATGTTCGATACTCACCCGCAACACATGGGCGGCGGTGGAGGGTAGGGGAAAGCCTCGCTTGCTTCTTGTTTTCAATTGATTTTGGTCCAAAATGTTGGCGTGTATATCACGTTTACAATAGCTGCGCAAAATGTAGCGACCATGTTTGATCAGTCGCACGGTCAGCAGTCTCACAGACATTTTTCGGCCCGACTAGACCCCGGCTTTAAGTGCCTGTAACTAGAATTCACATTTGACCACTCCTCTACGCAATACATAAACTTTAAACTTAATACCTTTTCAAGTTTTGTGGTGCTCAAGTCTTGCTGCTGCTTCTTCTTCGCATTCACGGTTGGTCATACGGGCAATCGATAACACCGATCGACAGCCAAACAGCTGGTGCGTTGGTGTCGATTGTTTGGGTTTTGCGTCGTAAATTTATTTTGTTGTTCTTTGGCTTTTGAGAAGTGTGTAGGTGTTGCTGGGGTGGAGGGAGGGGTGTTGGCTGTTAACAAGGCAAAAACCGTGGATCGAAAGGGCTGCTGCTCGGAATATATATCCTTTGTTCGATTCCTGTGTGGGCTAAACCGATTTTTCCTTATTTTCAACTGCACGAAACGGATAATTTTCGGGAACCACTTGCCTGGCTGGTTGTTCTTATTATCTGCGCCTACTTCTACGCTCGTTTCGTTTCGATTTTGTCGTTAGATAATCGTTTTTAGCTTTCAGTGTTTTTTTTTTTGACAAGCAAACGCACTAAGAGTAATTAACCCTTGTTTATCTGGGCAATATGTTTATATTATGCTTTTGAAAAGTAGTTAATTAGCTAAAAATTCACGATAAAAACAAAGAAAAAGTAAAAAACAGCAAGGCGCCAGTGTGACCGTTATAAAAGCTCAAAAATCGATAACGACTTAGTGGTCGCTCAAACCCGGCGGGCTTTTAGTATGTACATAAACCATTGCCACCTATTTTAAATTTTTAAATTTAAATAAATGGTTGATATAGGAAACCGTAATAAATTCCATTACAAATATTATCTTTTAAATCAGATCTCGAGATTAAAAAGAAACTAAACCCAAGGTTTAGGGACAATAAAATTAGAATATATATCGAATTTGCATTTATTCAGAGAAGAGAGAAATTATAACAAATAACATCCTATCTATACTTATGTCCTATTTGTATATTTGAGTGACAATTATAAAAAACATATTCCTTACAAAACTATCAGTTCAAAAAATTCAACATTAATACAATAAAACGAACAGTAAGCTTACAAATGTACAAACGTACAGCTTAAAAACCACTTTAAACTTATCAAAAAAATAGGGTAAATGCTTAATAAGGTAACTTTTGATAAACTTGAATAATTTTATTACATTCAACTGGCAACATTGATAATAACTAAGAGGAGGATGGATCACTTGGGTCCCAGCATCTCCTTGGGATTGACCCACTCCTTAAACTGTTCTTCGGTGATGCCGGTTTTCAGGGCCTCCTCCTTCAAAGTGGTCTTGTTCTTGTGGGCCGTCTTTGCGATCTGGGCGGACTTGTCATAGCCGATGTGCGGATTCAAGGCGGTTACCAGCATCAGGGACTCATTCATAATCTTGTCGATCATGTCCTTGTTAGCCTGAAGTCCCTCCACGCAGTTTTTGCTGAAGGTCATGCTGCCATCGGCTGAAAAAAGAGGTTTCTTGACATGAAATTGGAGGAGAAAATACTTAAAGCTGACTGTAAACGATGCAGCAGCAGCCTAACAGCTTGTGTACCTGGTAAAGCATATGTCATGCGGCTTAAAGCATTAAACTGGTTGTAAACGATACAGCAAAAGGCATATAATCTGTTCGCCTATATGCTCGTGCTATTTAGAGCATGTAGTAAACGTTGCTTAAAAGAACAGGATTGCAGCATGGGCAGTCGCTGCATCGTATACAACCTACTTTAAACTACATTTTCAACCTAAAAGGGCACCCCTGAAAAACCTACACAACAACCGAATGGATCGCAGCACATTGGACACAATCAGGGGCTTGAATACATTTAGTTGGAAGTGTCCGTTGGAGCCGCCGATGGTCACGGCCACCTGGTTGCCCATCACCTGGGCACACAGCATGGTCATCGACTCGCACTGCGTGGGATTCACCTTGCCGGGCATGATGGAGCTACCCGGTTCGTTCTCCGGCAGCAGGAGTTCCCCAATGCCGCAACGTGGACCCGATCCCAGCAGGCGGATGTCATTGGCAATCTTCATCAGACTCACGGCAACTGTATTGAGCACTCCATGCACCTCCACCATGGCATCGCGGGCAGCCAGGGCCTCGAATTTATTGGGCGCCGAGACGAAGGGCAGGCATGTGAGCTCGGCAATCCTCTTGGCCACCTTCTCGGCAAATCCCTTATGGGTATTCAGACCGGTGCCCACGGCAGTGCCGCCCAAGGCCAGCTCATAGACCCGCGGCAGACAGCACTTGATCCTCTCCAGACCGTAGGTCAGCTGCTGGGTGTACCCACTGAACTCCTGGCCCAGCGTCAGAGGCACTGCGTCCATCAGATGGGTGCGGCCGATCTTGATGATGTCCTTGAACTCATCCGACTTGGCTTTGAATGCATCCCTCAGGTGTGTCACCGCCGGAATCAGTCGCTCGTTCAGCTCCATGCCCACCGAAATGTGAATGGCCGTTGGGAAGGTGTCGTTGGAGCTCTGCGACTTGTTCACATGGTCGTTGGGATGCACTGGACTCTTGCTGCCCAGTTCGCCACCCATCATCTTGATGGCCGCATTGCTGATCACCTGGAAAAAAAGTGGAAGAAGCTTATAATATGATTTTAGCATAATGTTTCTTTGTTAATGTGATATAAAGACCATCGCAATTTTCAATTTTTTTATACAAAAAATACTAATAATATTACACTGTTGAACAAATCGTACTAAGTCCAAATAATCTGTACTCAATTTAAATATTTTTCGCTTTGATTTTCATTTATTGCGGTTTTTAGTTATTTTGAAAATGAAAATATTAATTATTTAAATTTTCATTTGAATATTTTCGAAACTTATTTTAATAACGGAAAATTTAATTTAAATTTATACCACATGATAACTTAAATAAAATGCATTTTAATCAAGAAGATACTATTTATCGTCTAATATTTTCCACGTTTATTAAAATATTCAAAATTGTAATTAAATATGCATTGTATTTGTATTATAATTCTATAAATATAATTTTAATTAAAATACTATAATAATTATAATTTAAATATTAAATATAACATGATGAATTGAATAGTCCGATATTTATTTTTATAATTCTATTTTTATATTAATGTATTTTGATAGTCAAATTTAAAGGATCGAAATATCGAATTTTAATTGTAATTCGATATTAATTAATTTTTCGGGACAATAACCGTTCAATATAAAAATGTACAATTAAAAACCGAAAATCTGTAGGAAAGAATTTTAGAATTGCCCCAGTTATACATTTTTTTTTTTTTATGCACTGTGAACTCAAGCTCACCTCATTGGTATTCATATTGGACTGGGTACCGGATCCAGTTTGCCAGATGACCAGCGGGAAGTGGCCCTGTTTGTAGTACTTGCCCGAGATGACATCGTCGCAGGCACAGGACACTGCCTCCGAGATCTTGCTATCCAATCCATAGTTCTTGTTGACCTCGGCGCAGGCCTTTTTCAGTATGCCCATGGCCTGAATCACGGGCATCTACAGACAGTGAACAATATGATTTAAAGGTCTGCAGAATTTCAAATCTACAGAGGAGATCCCTACCGGCATCCGTTCGCCTTTATCACCGATGGGAAAATTCAACTTGGAGCGCATAGTCTGAGCTCCAAATAGCTTGTCTGCTGGAACCTTTAGTTCCCCAAACGTGTCCTTCTCCGTGCGAAACTTTGCGTTGGCGTTGGCGTCTGCCTTATCCTTGCCCTTGCCCTTGCCCTGGTCGCCCTGGAAAAGTGCCCCTTTTATATGTGAAAAGCCGCCCTCCCAGTTGATCTTTCACCTTTTGCTACTTACATCCTTGGCCCGCAGGCCACCGCAAGCCACCCAAAGATTGCGCGTGGTTAGCTTTAGCCCATTGCTTGCTTGCTTCAGCATTTTCAGTTATTATTGATCTGTGTGTTCCGAGCGATTCAATTACAAACGAACTTAAACCCGACAAGCCGATACGGAATTTCGTTGACAGCAGCGATGAATGAAATGAGGTCAGACGGTTGGCCTACTACTTGGGTCCCAGCATCTCCTCCGGTCGCACCCAGTCCTTGAACTGCTGCTCGGTGAGGTAGCCCAGATTGATGGCCTCCTCCTTGAGGGTCGTTCCGTTCTTGTGCGCCGTCTTGGCGATCTTGGCCGCCTTGTCGTAGCCGATGTGCGGATTGAGGGCGGTCACCAGCATCAGGGATTCGTTCATGATCTTGGCAATGTTCTCGCGGTTGGCCTGGATTCCATTAACGCAGTTGGCAGTGAAAGTTCTGCTTCCATCAGCTGGAAAACAAAGAGTTTCGTTACGTGACATTCGATAAATACGTTATTTAAGCTGGTTGTAAACGATGCAGCCAATTAGTTTTTCAGCTGAATAATTGCTTTTTGGAATAGAAGTTTTTTCCCACAACTGCTGCATCGTTCCCCTTACTTGGCAACCGTTAAATAAGTAATTTAAACTGGTTGTAAACGATGCAGCCATTTAGCTTAAAACACTTTAAAGCTGTTCCTACAGCAGCTGCACCGTTTACGAACCGCTTTAATCTTTGCCATGAACTTACACAACAGCCGAATGGAGCGCAGCACATTGGACACAATCAGAGGTTTGAACACGTTCAGCTCGAAGTGTCCGTTGGAACCGCCGATGGTCACGGCCACCTGGTTGCCCATCACCTGGGCGGCGAGCATCGTCAGCGATTCGCACTGCGTGGGATTCACCTTGCCGGGCATGATGGAGCTACCCGGTTCGTTCTCCGGCAGCGACAGCTCGCCCAGGCCGCAACGTGGTCCCGAGCCCAGGAAACGTATATCGTTGGCGATCTTCATCAGACTGACGGCGATCGTGTTGAGCACACCATGCACCTCCACCATCGCATCGCGGGCAGCCAGAGCCTCGAACTTATTGGGAGCGGTGACGAACGGCAGGTGGGTCAGCTCGGCAATCTTGGCCGCGCACTTCTCCGCAAATCCCTTGCGGGTGTTCAGACCCGTGCCCACGGCAGTGCCGCCCAGAGCCAGCTCATAGACACGCGGCAGACAGGCGTCGATCCGCTCCTGGGCGTAGGCCAACTGCTGGGCATAGCCGCTGAACTCCTGGCCCAGCGTCAGTGGCACCGCGTCCATGGTGTGGGTGCGTCCGATCTTGATGATGTCCTTGAACTCCTCCGACTTGGCCCGCAACGCATCGTGCAGCGTCTTGATCGCCGGCTTGAGGTTGTTGTTCAGCTGCAGCGCCACCGAGATGTGAATGGCCGTGGGGAAGGTGTCGTTGGAGCTCTGCGACTTGTTCACATGATCGTTGGGATGCACGGGCGTCTTGGAGCCCAACTTGCCGCCCAGCAGCTCAATGGCACGATTGCTGATCACCTGGTTAATAGCGTAATGTAGTGATGAAGGCAAGCCAAGGGAATGGAAATGGGTAAATGACCAACCTCGTTCACATTCATGTTGCTCTGGGTGCCCGATCCCGTCTGCCAGATGACCAGCGGGAAGTGATCGGCGTACAGCTTGCCCGAGATCACATCGTCGGCCGCCTTCGAGATCGCCTCGCTCACCTTGCTGTCCAGTCCAAACTCCTTGTTCACCTCGGCGGCGGCCTTCTTCAGGATGCCCATGGCCTGCACCACGGGTTTCTAAAAGACGTACAAAAAATGCATTAAATAGGAATCTAGGGTGTTGTCGAAAACTTTATTCCACTTTACATAAAGCAGACGCTTAACAATATTTTTCAATAATTTAATATTCATTCTCGGAATTTAAAACGGTTCCAAATCGATATATTATCTACAAAGTACTTTGTTGTCTTTAAAGGTCTAAAAACCGAAGAGTATTACATATTTTTACTTACTTAATAGACTGACTATATCTTAAAATAATTTAACTTCTTGATTTTTTATTTAGCATATGAAAAACCCAGACATTTCAACATAAAGTTTCTTTTTTGTGCCTTTTGTTTGTAAATGTACTATCTAACCTTGTAACAATATTACATTGCAACTTTTAAAAACCTTGTAAAAAACAGACAAGAAAACTATAATTTATTATTTTGTTCTTACTTTTGTTTTTAGCTAAATATTAAAATATTAAAGCCATGACACAAAAACCAATTGGTTTTTTTTTTTAGAAAAAAAACTGTCTGTAAAAATGTTTTTAGGTAAAATCATTAAACTATTTGTATTCTTTTTATTTATCTTAGTATTAAAAAAATGTTTAATCATTAAAAAGACTGACAATTGTATTCTTCAATGTAAAATCTCTTCAAGACCCCTTAAGGCAACCAATAAACTTAAGATTCTGATGAATAATTTGTTTTTCAATCATTATAAAACCCATTTGGTGTGGCAAAAAACTTCTCGTTATGTTTTGCAAAATACTTTTTAATTGAACAGTGCAAGGGCTTGAATTCATCTCTTTGTACTCTTTGTGATTTTCGATGGGGATTACTATGGGAAATACTTACGGGCATTCGTTCAGTAGCTCCGCCGATGGGGAAATTGATCTGGGATCGCATGGTCTGGGCGCCATAATACTTATCCGCGGGAACCTTCAGTTCGCCAAAGGTGTCGCTTTCCACGCGAAAATCCTGGGAGGCCTGCAATGAGTTAAATTACTAGATTAAGAGCGGGGAATATAATAAAAAATAAGGGGCAACCATCTGACCATTATGAGTGAAGATAGATGGCAGATAAGTCGGGTGATAAGTCGGTCAGAAAACAGAAATCCGAAATCAGAGGACGACCACTCGACGACGACGACTGCTCAAAGTTAACTGAGGCGACAGATAAGCGAGCGACTATGAAACTCAGGTTCGAGTGAACAGCAATCAGATTCTTGAAAGAGTCGCTCTCAACGAAAATAAATATGGAATTGTGGAGGTGTAAAAGAGGGCGATTCTGGAGGGGACCGAAGACCCTGCCCAGCATGGGGTGTTTCGCTAATCAGCAGCGGTTTGGCACACAAAAAAACAGTTGGGGCCAAATGCTTAGCAACGAAAACGCTAAATAGTTAAATCTACAAACACATTGTTTTGATGTAAACAACATTATTTTAAGCTAGAAACTTGTGCAATCATTTTTTTAATTGTTATACAAATTTCTATATTGAATTTGTATCAAAAGAAATGCATTCTTCTTATATATTGTTTAATCAAAAGTGGAAAACCTCATAACCATCTAACTTAAAATAATTTATTTGTTTAATTTTCTTTTTTTTATTTTTTCGTTAAAGATTATACTTCTAATTATGTATACTTAATTATGTATTTATATTTTGTTACATTTTTTGTGAAAGTAGTATTATATATAACAAATAGTTTAATACTTAAATGTCTATGCTCGCAAAACTTGAAAAGAACAAAGTTATACTAATCATTAATTTCCAGACATTTATAACTTTTGAATAATTCAAAAAATATATTTATATCGCAATTTTGATGCACCTTAAGACAAAGATTAGTTAATTACTATATTTCAATTTTACCATATATATAACTGATCCAAAAACAATATATTTGACGACAAAATGAATTAATTTATATGGCAAAAGTTCTAGCTCTATTCTTTTGACCTCCAGTGTGTGATATTCTGCAAATGTAGCACTTTCTTAGGAGTTATGAGTGTAATTTATGCCGATTTGCTGCTACTATATGTCACTATTTTGTTATCTGAGTAATCAGAAGTTCAGAGAGTGTATAACAGTGGTCGGCATATGGATAAAAACACCACAATTAACCGGTTTTAAATACAATTGCCGAAAACAAGAATCGCTGATTAACACCGTTTCTTGAATTACAACTCGTTTTGCGAGTTTTTATTCGCGGTGTTTGTTTGTTTTGTTTTTTTTTTTATCATGTGATTTGAGTGCGATTTAAACAAAAAAAAAGAGAATAATGTGTGAGAATTTTGAGTGAAAAAATCAATGCAGCTGCTTCCAATTGGAGTTGCCGACAAAACCCCCAATTGGAGTATGTCCACAAGTGGTCGAAGATGTGTGCAAATTGGAATTGCTATTCCAGTGGCTGGAAGGCGGTCACTGCCACTACTATTCCATTGTGTAATGATTACGAAACGCCGGTATTTAATGCACTTTTCATCTGCATTTTGTTTAGTTCATATCAAATTGTTATAACAATTTTTGGAGTTGTTAGGTGGTTCATAAGCAAAAGAAGCATTACATAAGGCACAATATTTGACATATCCGAGGGAAATGGATATAAACTATATAAATCCTTACCAGACGCAAGCTTCCAATGGAAGCTGCCCAAGGCTTCGTTATTTGTTGAACGCCACGAAGACTGGAACGCTGCAATAACGGGAGCACCATCTTAATGCTTATTCCTTAATTAGTAATTAATAAATAAGTTTGCCGATCACTTTTCACGGACGAGCCCACCACAACAAAAACAACGATGCGCGGGTGCACACTATCGCCTATCGATAACTCTTATCGATGGTTGCTTAAGTTTAATGAAACAAAATTATGGACAGAATGTAAAATAATAAAGAAATAAAAATAATAATAATACAAGCATAACAATATATGTATTACTATAATGTTATAATTTCTTTAACAAAACAAAACAAAAAGAAATCAAGCTGTAGATATTCAAATTCACTTATATTCAGTTCTAATGTATCATAGTACACTAAGATTTTACTGTAGGAAAAACAATAGTTTTAAAGCTCCAAAATTTGAAAACATTTAAGTTGTACACATTTCAAATTTTTTACTAGGTACCTGAACTACCGCTTGTCGACTATCGATAGTCCGTGACTACATATCGAGTCAGGGCCATCTGCAGGCAAACAGCTGTTTGCCTTTGGAAATTAAATTGCAAACTTTTTTTTGGAAGCGAGGAGCCTGCAATGTCGGCATTTGTGAAATCCGTGTGCTTGGCCCAAAAGCTATGCGCCGCCAATCCCGCCGTGGTTCGCCAGGCGGTGCGCAGCAGTAAGTGAAAAACCGGCAGAGCTGGGGAAATCCGTAGAACCTGCGCCTCTGTTTTGTTTACGTAACTTTTGAGTGTACGCAGTCCTAAACTAGTTTCCCTCCTCGTTTAGTGGCTGGCTGGAACAAGGACTACAAGCCGGCACCCTTTCCACAAACGGAGAAGGAGCGTCTGGCGGCGGCCAAGAAGTATTACCTTCTGCCGGAGGAGTACAAACCATATGCGGATGATGGCCTGGGCTACGGAGACTATCCCAAAGTGGGCGGCGGACTGGGCGTGGAGGCCAAGGACAACTACTATCCCTGGGACTATCCGGAGCACAAGCGTAATCACCACGAGCCCGTAAGTGGATCACTACGCATGCTTCTATGCCATAAATACCCAAAGAATATCGCTTTCGCCATCTGCAGATCTCGGCGGATCACGATCTGTACAGTGAGGATCGCTGGTCGCAGGCAGAACCGCCACGCTACAAGAACTCGTACTACTTCATTGTCTTCCTGAGCGTCATGTCCGGCTGCCTGGCCCTATACTACTGGCTGGAGGACAAGAAGATGTACCGCCCCGTGGCCGCCAAGCAATATCCTGCCGAAGGCGTCAAGCACTACACCTTCGAGAAGTAGGAAAGCATCCTCAACTCGATCGCTCTGCGGGCCTCGTTTTTATTTCATAGGCAATTTATCAACGCATCTGTACAATTAAAATGAAAAGAAACCAAGCTGAGTTGTGAGCGTTAATTTCAAGTGTTTCGGATGATTTGAAACGCATGCTTAATGAGCTTAAATAGAAAAATACCGAGGCCCAAAATAGGAAAACATGAAAGGAAACCAACATACATTTTCAGATAAGTGGTCTAAATATATATGTCCGATTAGTTAATGCTTAATGGGATTAACTTTAAATAAAAGCCCAATGAGAGGTCCCAAACATATAAATAAAAAACGGCTTAACTTGAGATGAACGTTTATTTCGACGAAAACATGAATGATTCTCATAGTAACTTGACTACAGATGAGTCAAAAAAAATGCTTAATTTGCTTAGTATTCTAAACTTACAGATAAATACAATGATTAGAAGACCAAAAAATGTGAAAATGTGGGGAAACAGAAACTTAACTAGGTAGATGATGATGGTGGTATAATAAACTGGCGTCTGGCTGAGTTCACTCCACAACGTAGTTGGGGTGCACCACCAGCAGCGGATCCTCCGCCTGATCATCGTCCTGGCCCTGGGCCCTGAAACTTGGCTTCAGCGTAGAGGTCTTCAGCGGAATGATAACCTGGTCGTGGTAGATGAGGCGATCGATCAGCTTCTCGATGAGGTTCTTGCGCGAGATCAGCTCATCCTCGGATTCGATTTGCTCGGCCACCTGCTCCAGATACCAGGTGACGACCTCGCTTCGTCTCATGCCCGTATCGCTGCCCTCCACCTCGCAGCGTGCCTCCTCGCCACGCATATGCAGCACCAGCATGGTGGACAGATTCTTGTAGTCCTCGAAGGACAACGTGAACTTCTTCTTTTGCACCGCAGCGCTGCCGGAGGTGTCCATGTTCTCATCGATATTGGCCGCTGCTCCATTGTTCTCCATGTCGATGTCGTGCTGAATGCCATCGTCCACATCCAGACCCTCGTCGTCGTCCAGATGAATGTCGGGCTGCTCCACGCGTATAATCGATTTGTTAAGCAGCCGGAAAGCCTCCTTGACGTGCCGCTCCAGCACGCGATTGGAGCACTCAAGCTTGGCCATTGCCTCGCTCAGCCGTATCATGGACTCCAGCTGCCGCACCGTGATCCTCCAGGTGCTTCTGCCCGACGTGCCCGTGTCCCGCTGCCGGAGATGGCCATAGTTCTCCACCAGCATGCGTCCGGCCTCCTGACCAATTACCGGCTTGAATTGCCGCGCAAAGGTCACATAGCGGAGGACCTCCTCGCGCGTATAGGCCCGCTCCACCGACTCCTCGATGTTCGAGTGCAGATCAACAATCTTTCGGGCAATGGCATAGTCCACCACCTCGTTGCATTCGTCCACGAGGATGAAGAACAGATCAAAACGTGACATAATCGGTGCGGACAGCTGGATGTTCTGCTGCAGACTCTTGGAGCGATCGTAGCGTCCATTGATGGGATTGGCGGCGGCCAGAATAGAGGTGCGCGCATTCAGTGTGGCGCGCACTCCGGCGCGAGCTATCGAGATGGTCTGCTGCTCCATGGCCTCGTGAATGGCCACCTGATCGCGCTGATCCATCTTGTCGAATTCGTCGATGCAGCAGATGCCGTTGTCGGCCAACATAAGGGCTCCGGCCTCGATGACAAAGTCAAACGATTCCTCGTCGCGGACCACGGCCGCAGTTAAGCCCGCCGCAGATGATGCCTTGCCCGAAGTGTAGATGGCTCTGGGCGAGAAGTCGGAGACCTGCTTGAGGAACTGCGACTTGGCCGTGCTGGGATCACCCACGATGCAAACATTGATATCACCACGCAGCGAGGTCTTTTCGGTTGTGGTCTTGGCAACACCACCAAATTGCTGGAGGAGAATGCCCCGCTTCACCTCGTCATTGCCATAGATCGAGGGAAACAGGCTGCTAATCAGGTTCTGGTACAGATTACGGTCCTTGGACATTTCGTAGATCTTGTGCCACTCGGCATCCGTCATCTGCTTCTTCATATCCTCCGCCGTGACCTCGGACATGGGCAGATCCGTGCCGCCAAAGCGGGCTGTGGTGGCCTGGACGCTGCAGGCGAGGAAGGCCATCCGGTAGTTGAGCTCCCGCATGCCCAGAGCCTTCAGGCCAGTGACGCCCTCCATTCCCTCGCCGGGCTTGTGGCGCGAACTGGTCTCCGCCCGGGTGCCAATGTTCGCCAGCACACTCACGTCCGGGACCACGATCAAAGTGCCCGTGAAATCGTATCGATCGCCAGCCTGAACGGTTTCCACCAGCTCCGAGCGCAGGATGATCTCCACGGCCCGGGGAATGCAGCCACGGGGCAGCTCCGCCTGTGTTTCCTGTATGCGAATCTTCTGGAAGTCCAGGAACAGGCTCTTCTCCACATCCAACATGAAACGCCGGCGATTAGAGCAGACGGGATTGCGGCAAATAGTGGGATTGGTGAACTTGAACTGTTGCTCCACATTCCGGATTTCCGTTTGGCAGTCCAGGCACATGAACACACCAGATACGAGCTCCGGATGGACGGGATGGGTGCGCACCACCTGGCCGGAGATGCGGATGAGTGTGCCGATCTTGGAGGTGGTCAGATCGCGGACCTTGTGCCGCGTGGGCACCTCCGTGAACGCAACATAGCAATCCTTTTGAGTCTTCAGGCCAATTCTATCCTTCACATAGTTCGAAACGGACTGGCAAAGGAACGGATAGACATGGTAGTACTCCTCGATGATGGCGGTGGCCAGATTCTGGTCGTACTTCTCCACATCCTCGAAGCTGACCTCCAGGGTGCAGCGATCCGGCGATTCCAAGCTGGCCGCCGGACGCGTGTACTTAATTTCGCCGTCCTCCTTGAATTCTTCGAGGAAATCCTGGAACAACTTCTGCGCCCGGATGCCCACCTCATCCTTGACGCGCAGCTGGCCAACCTGAGCATCTGCTACATCCATTTTGGGTGACTGTTTGTTTGGAACTGATGGACAAACGCCAGAGGTAAACGCGGTTAATTTTGTGTTTGCGAATGTTTACAGCTGCGTGCTTTGCCAATTTTTGGCGCCTTTTTCTGACAGTTGCTAGGTGGTGGCAACGCCAACAGACAGAGGGCTGCCACTGCGTTATTCTTTATTATTCATGGCTGGTCACATTATTGGATTATTTTAAATTATCAATACTTATTATAATTACTTACTTACTTATTACTTATTTGTTTAAACCCTGGCTGAAAGGTATATAATAATTCTAATATAAGTGTGTGTGTGTGTACTGTGATTAGTAATTTTTGCAAAATAAGACTAATTTTAAAATAAATAATAAATATTTATTACCTCCAGGAATTCCAGAGTGGATTAGTTTTGTTTCTAAAATGTAATTTAGTTTTTCAATTTTCTTTTGTTAATTAAAATGCTTCTGAAATTGTGGTTTTTAGTTTAACAATGAATTAGTTTATATTACAGCAAGATATAACAAATTATGAGTTCTGGTCACTTAAGCATTTTATAAAATCTAAATTATTGGCATTTTCCCATTACCAAACGAAAAACAAACATTCCATTGATGAAAACGAAGTAGAAGAACAATTTCAGCCCTTGTATAATACATAACACATATACATTTGCGTAATTCCAAAGATCTGTAGAACCATTTAGTTTGGATAAAAAAAACCCTCCCACTACAATAAACCCCTTTATTCTCCACAAACTTACAAGATATGTTTAAGGCTATAACCTTTTTAAAAACCCCACCAAAAGCGCCTTTGCAGTTCGCGATGTTTTGGACCATTGATTTTCGCGAATAAACGCGACGGTCACATTGCGCTGCACAAATTCGATACCACACGAATTTTATTTCGTGAATTTTATTGATTCTTTTTGGAGAAATTGTCGCTTAAAGACCTTTCTGCACGAGTTCTACGTGGCTGCACCTGTCCGCCGGCATCACCCAGGCCACAAAATTGGGTGCGCTCCACCGGAATCGCTAGCATCACTTGGATTGGAGCACTTGCACCGCTTTGCACACCACAGCCACTCCCCCCCTCCCCCACCCCCCAACACTCTTGGCAGTTTACCCTTACCCCTTGAAACTAAAGATATCCAAATCAAAGGCGAAGAAGTCTCGGAAAAAATGGTGGACGCCGCCAGACAAATGCTCGATGAGCTGATGGGCAGGAATCGGAACCTTCATCCCTCGGAGGCGGGCGCCAAGGTCAACTGGGAGGATCCCGAGGTGAGGTCTTTGAGTTTCCATTCCACGCAATCCGATAATAATATCCATTTTGCCATCCTAGTTCTGCCAGTTCTACAATGTTAAGTTCTGCCCACATGATCTGTTTATAAATACCCGCGCGGATCTGGGACCCTGTGCCCGCATCCACGACGAGGAGGCCCGTCATCTGTACGAGGATGCTCGTCCCTCGCAAAGGAAACGACAGTACGAAGATGAGTTCCTGCGCTTTTGCAATGTCATGCTGCACGATGTCGACCGAAAGATCCAGAAGGGCAAGCAGCGCTTGCTTTTAATGCAAAGGGATCAGCCCAATACTCCGGCTCCGTTGAGCAGGCACCAGGAGCAGCTGGCCAACCTGAATGCTAGGATCAATAAGCTCCTCTCCGAGGCCGAGGAAGCGGGCATTCGTGGCGATGTGGATCAGGCGCAGGATTTGATGACCCTGTGCGAGGAGCTCAAGGAGGAGAAGGAGCAGCTGGTGCAGCAGCACGAGGCAAATCACAAGGCCATCAGCAGCATTAGCTTGGCCAAGCCACCGGACGATGAGCTGCAGCCGGGGCGCAGCAGCAGTCCTGGCACAAATCCCAGCGACGACACCCCCAATCCACTTCCTGCGGCCGCCATCACCAGCGATGAAACTCTAGAGGCTGCTCCAAGTACGGCAGCAGCAGCAGCAGGAGCTGCTCCAGCGGAGGAAGGTGAATCAGCTGGAGCATCGGGTGAAGATAAAGCGGAGAAGAACGAAAGCAAGGCTGCTGGCTGGTCGCACGATGCCCTGCCCGAGAAACAAATGAAGGTTTGCGAGATCTGTGGCGCCTTCCTGATCGTCGGCGATGCACAGCAGCGGATCGAGGACCATTTGATGGGCAAACAGCATTTGGGATACTCCAAGCTTCGCAACGCCGTCGCCGAGATCAACGATGCGCGGCAGAAGGAGCGCGAGCAGGAGGATCGACGTCGGCGGGAGGGTCGAGTGCAGCGCTTCCACTCCTACGATAACAGACGGTAAGGATATGCTCAGGATTAAAATACTCATTTAAGCATTTAGACAGTAACTTTTAATTTATGTAAGAAGTTCAATGCTTTTCATGCCAAAATATTTATGAACTCATAAATACGATTATCATGAAGCAATATACCAATATAGCACATATATAAATATTCAAACAATGAGCCTGTTGAATATGCAATATAGAGTTTACCATAATAAGTTCGCCTCCGCGCTTTAGGGCTTAAGAATACACTACCCTTTAGGGCTTAAAGTATACAAATGGTATATGCATGTTTGTTTTTACGCTAATCCAGCTATTTGTGTTTTGCCATGTCAAACCCTATATCCTATACAGACGATCAAGAACAAGAATTCGTTTATTCTTTTTCTAGTTAATTACAACAAACTTGGCAGATTGCCGTTCAATGTGACTATGAGTAATACTACTTAGTTTGTTTACTTTGGGCTTATTATATCACATGGCAATGGCACAATGCAATTGTCTAGATTCTTTTCAAGACTTTATGATGTCATAGAATCCTATAAACAACTTTTTGGTTCTTAAATATAGTTGTTTAAAAAACTGAGGTGTACGTTTTCACAAACCATTCTAGTTTAGTAAACATTGGAGTACTCTATTTTGTTATAAACGTGTTTAGTAGAAAAATTGTTAGCTTTGGTATTGCTGTAAATGTGTCTTCTAAGCTGCTCACAACCTAACCTCTCTTCGGTTTCTTTATTTTAATGTTCTCTGACCTCTATTATGATTTTTAGCAAAAAAGCTTATGTCAGTTTAATTCATAATTCGTTCCTAACTAATCGCTTGTATTCTTTTTTTTGTATCCTTTAGCGAGCCACGCAATGAGTACCGGGAACGAAGTCGTGACTATGTCCAAAATCGCCAGCCCTCGGATCGGCGTCACCGTAAGTGCCCACGAAAGCAGCTCTCCCGCTTGCAATTGCACACGGCACAGCTTTTCTAAACCTTGCCCTTTGTGTTCTAGATCACCATAAGTCGCATCACAGCTCTCATCACTCGTATTCGCGCAGTGGCGGTGGCGGCGGCGGAGGAGGAGGAGGAGGAGGAGGCGGTGGTGGTGGTGGTGGTAGTGGTAGTGGCAACCGAAGCAACCGGAGCCATCACAATCACAACCATAATCACTACCGCCACGACAGCCGCGAACGACATTGCCGCAGTCGGAGTCGCAGCCGCTACTAGAGACCAAAAACAGCATAATAAACCAAGTGAAAAGCAAACACCACAAGTAATAAGCAGAAAGTCAGAAGCTGTTCCCAAAGCCCTAAAAACCCGCAACTACACAACTAAATAAGATCAAGACTCAAGACCAACGCAACACAACCTCTCGTCCAACTGCAATCTTCCAATCTTCAGTCTCGTGTGTGTTCGCAAATCCACAACCACAACCCGTAAGCAGCTGCCGTGGCAAAAGGTGGCAGCATCGAGGTACCCCAAAAAACAAAAAAAAAAAAAAAAAAAAACAAAAAACAAAAATCATTAACACAATTTTTGAAAATAATATGTATAAAAAAACAGTAAAAAAGAAATAGTATCTGAGCTGGCAAGAGCGAGTGCGCTGAGGTGAGTCGAACACTTGATAAACCCGTAAAAAGTAACACTCCGGCGCCATTGTGCCACTCCACATTCCGTAGACAAACTCGTTTCGTTCCATAACTTTACCATATATATAGATCTCTATCCGCCGTGTACACACGTCTTTCCTTAATGTGTGTACCCAGTTCAGTTGCGTACAAATCCCATCGAGGATTTCACGAAGGTCAGGTCCTTTTTAATTAACAGACGGACTTACGAAACGACCCTTTAGGCTGCAGATGGCAATTGGTATTTCAAAATTGATTTTAATTAATTTTTGTATGGTATATAATGCTGCTTCAGTTTCTAAAACACTCAAATTAACTTATTTTCTTGATAAAAAAAATTGAACTCTTTAAAAAAAAACGAGCTTATTTTAAGGACATTTTAATGTTGATATACTTGTTAAGGTATAATTCTATAATTTTAAATTATTATAATTTCAATATAAAAAAATATTAACCATTTTAAATAAAAGCGAAGTTTTTTATTTAGCTACATCATAGATTTAATAAAAGTAAAACCTATTTTATACCTTGTTGGGAAACTTTTGATTAGCAAATTAAATATTAAACAAGGGTTTTGCAAACCAAATATTTTCTTAATCATTAACGTTTACGGACTTTAATATTTTAGACTGCTTCCGCAGTTTGATTAGAAGACAACATTAGATAGTTTTAGTCAGGTTTGTACCACAGATCAATGAATTTCGCATATAAACGAATATACAAATCGACTGAGAAGTAGGCAAAGGATTAGGGCGATACGGGACGTTCCTCGGACGTTTCCCTTGCAATTGTAAGTGGGACAGTGACTGAAAACAGGTATTTACCAAGCCTTACTGTTATCTCCTTGCGCTTAATTAACCCAACAGAAACAGATTCACGCATCTCATGCATTGCCCCCTTGCACACCCCACACATACCTGTCCACACAATCCCAAAAACACGAGTACAACACACGCCATAAATCATAAACGATAAATGTATATATATATATAGTGCTATATAGAGTGACTTAGTGAGAGACTCGTACTGCATGTGCTTTTGGCTTGGCGACTGGGTTGCTGGGTCCTTTTGTGTGCGATGGGATGGGTTTCAAGTTCCCAAGTGGAGGTACGTAGTCGTAGTACCTTGCCAAGTACCCATACCCAAATAAAAACAGAGAAAGTGACGGACTAAGGCAGTGAGAAAGTTAAAGGATCTACTGATGTGAGACTGATTGCAGGTACATTTGATCAATCGATGAAACCAATGAACCTATGATCCCTTTCCAAAGATTTGAAAGCTTAAATAGTTTGTAATTTTTAATAGAAATACAATAATCGAAATATATTGTTAATATATATCAATTTCACTTTGTTATTATAATGCTACCAGATTTAAGTGAATATCATTTAGTAGTTGGTATGAGTATTTTGTTATCTTGGTTAAAAATCAGAAAACTGCACTTGGAAAGGGATCTTGAGGCGTCGGCTTGCCGACGTAGGTCTTACATGTTACTTTTTTTTTGTATCCTGCTCTCATTGTTGTGGTGTACTGCCCCTCCCATCTCCCCTCCCACCTGCACTATCGTATTTCTTAAGATATACAAAAAAAAAAAAAACTAACCCCAGCGAACTCTTCAAGTCAAGATTCCAAGACACCTACGAAAAAACCACGAGGTAATTGAATTACAAAATCGAATTAAATTATAATCAATACAAAAATAAACACAAGCATAGGCAGAGCAGAGGGAGACAGCAAACAGAGCACAGACAGAGAGGGCGAGAGTTCCTATACCCATACACAAGTGTATGTTCATGTTCCCCCCTCCTCTTCACCAACAGGTAAATTGTGACTGACCCCCGACCCCCACCCCATGATATATTAAGCCTATTTATGTGATGTGATACGATCAGCCGTAGGTTGAGTCTCTGTCCAGAGCCAACAAAAAACAAGAAAGGAAGCAAACTTCGGCAAGCCGCAGTTCATATACCCTTGCAGCTATTGCAAAATGTAAATATTCTTAATAAAAATAACTACATCTCAAGGAATGTTTAAACAGCGAAGTAATAATTTTTCTTAAAAAGTCGTATATTTAATAAAATTAAAAGCGCAATTCTGAGAAATCTAACCATAGTAATGGTTAAAGAAATTTTCTCTTTCTTTTTTCGTGATTGTTCCTATGGGAGCTATATGATATAGTCGTCCGATCCGGCTCGCTCCGACTTTCATATATACTACCTGCAACAAAAAGAAGCAGAAAGTTTAATAATTCAGAGACTTATTCCTTCTGCAAGGGTATAACAACCAACCCTCGTAGATTTATGTTCTGTACTGTTCGTGCCACACCAAATCAAACAAACACACTTAGAAATCTGAATCTATATAAATATATTATATTTACACGATCAGCTCGAAATAAGTTTAAGCTGCGCTACCCACTTTCTATCCCACGCACCCGAAGTTTTAATCTGGCTCATTTAACTCACACTTTTCTCTCTGCAAACATATTCCAGGAGCTGCCAAACTGAAGAATGGAACCCTGAAATATAGAAAAGAAGGAGTTGGATATATATAGAGAGAGGGAGATATATATATAATATATATATACTTATATATTATATGTATATAAGAAAGAAGAACCAACCAGGTAACTTCTATGCCACACCTCCCACATAAATGTTTCTTCACGACAGACAAGGCGGCGTCGCATCCGCATCAAGAACCCGAAATCCAGATTCCGTAAAATCCAGAAATCAACGATCATCAATCGGCGATCAACGAACGATCAGTGATCACAGAAAGAGAGAGAGAGAAGAGTGAAAGAGAAGGCAGAAAGAGACACTCGTATAGAAACTGTATTAGGCATGATACAAACGAGGTGAATTTCAATTTCTCTCATCTACCTATAACTATATATTATATATATATATGTATATATATATATAACTCCACTATCCATTACTCCACCCATCCTTCGATCGTAATATCGTAATCGAAAATGCGCGAGTTGTCAGTTAAATATTTAAACCATTTGAACCGTACATATATGAATGTATGGGCCGCTTAAGTTTTGTGTTCTCGCAGGCTGAGCTCCTCTTTCCCCTTCCGTGCGAGGACCTAAATTCCCCCCAAATACATCCTATTATCCATCCACTAATCCATCATCCTTGTTTTTTTGTTACAACAATCTAAACCTACAACAAAAAACCTAGCAAATTAATCAATTAAATTGAATTCCCATCGGGCAAGCAAGAGTTACAAAAAAAAACATTTACGAATGCAGAATTAAGTATAGTGTAACCAATCAATAAAATTCGATCGATCGCCTGTAGTCATATAATAATGTTTTTAATTATGAATTACGATATGAGTAAGGATTCAACATTCTATCGAGAGACTCGCAAAATTTTCTAATAAAGATCAAAGTAAATCCTGAAAATGAGATCAAATGTGTTGTTTTCTTAATAATCATAATTTTACATTTCCTAGGTAAATAAATAAATCATGATCATAAATAAGATCAAACAAGGTAAAAGGTATTAAATTATTCTCTGCAAAATCTATATATTAATTTATTAAATCTATACATTAACTTAAATTCACATTCCTTACAATATTTAAAATCTTTGTTTTATATTTACCATAAGCTTCTTAGTTCGATTTTTTTGAAGCCCAGTTTCCATTCCCAATACTTTTCATATTAAAATCTGTTTTTGGTTCGTTTTTCAATTATAACAATATTCTGCTTGTATATTTATTAATGTATACGTAGATTTAATAATAATATTTATAAATTTGTTGCCGTTTTACTGTATGTATTTGCATTAAGTTTAATATCTACAACATCTATTTATGCACGCCGATAAGATAGGTAAATTTATATGCTGTATACAGTGCGTTTCGGGACATTAAGGCATTGTAAGACTCTGCTTTGAAAGCCTATTGCGATAGAGAGGGTGGACAATTATTTAGCAAAGCAATTTACAGCAGTTATTTTCGAGTTGAGCAAAAATTAAGCGAACCGAGCGCCTGTTTTTGCACACAGTCAATTAAAAAAAACAGACAACAATTAAATATCAGTTGTGGATAAAATGGAACACATTAAAATGAATGAGATGATGATAGTGTTTAAAAAGCTGTGACAATTTTCGAGCCTAAAGTAATGTCAGTTGTTTTTACAACACGTAAATGCAAGCATAAATCAATGACAACCATCTTAACTGGAATTTTTGGGGGTCTGCACATTTTCCCGTATCCAAATTACTCTTGTGAAACGCACTGTTGAAGCACATACGCAAACCCTTCAACATTCATGGCTTGTTCAACATTTCACACGGAAGCCAAATTTAACAAAAATGTCTTTTTTGGGGGGCTAACAAATAAGGGTGTGATATAAAAAAGAATTAAGTTTATTATCAAATAATAATAATCATAATCGTTTAATAAGGATACATAATGGTATATAATAGTAATGATAAAAAAAATATATATATTTGCTTTTGGGGAAATTCTGCGAACATCGATTGAGTACCAACAGAAAAAAATTATATTTGCATTGCTTAACTTTATACAATTCGCTCGCTGTCGCTCAATTTGTTCTATTGTATACTTAACACTTTCGACTTAAAACGAATGCCCTCAAATCCTTGCGGGCAGACCGTCTAGACAGTTGATCTTAATGTCGGGATTTTGAGTTGATTGTAAACGATGCAGCGGCTACAGGAT